ATTATCACCCATAGTGGAAAGGCATTGTTTTAGCTGGCCAGCATCCATATTTCCTTCCTGTGATAATATTGCTCTGATTTCCCAATTAATGGAATTCTCCTCTCTTGGTTGCAGCATTAGGACTATTAATCCAGGTGTCCTGCTTGCCCCAAGCCAAGGGACAGGTAAATTACCTCACAGAGAAATGACCATGCTAGGCCAACTACCTGTTGTTTCAAATTACGAGTAAAGAAATAAAAACCCTAACAATGTTGGAAGTTCACTCATTCTAGCAGTGGTATCCTGACAAGGTAGTTGATTATTATCTCCTGTCTAGCTAGACCCCTGGAGGTAAGGAAGAAATCAAGGAGGGAAGGTAATGAACCCAGGAAGTAACAGCAAAATGCCATTTATACTTGCTGACTGTTGGTGGAATCCCGTATAGCTGTAGCAGAGGGGACACCTGACAAGGTCTGTGGTCATACAAAACGGAATAAAACCATAGACAGTAACTACCAAGAGCTGGCAGGGAGAGAGTGGGAAAATGAATAGCCTGACCTCTGTCTGCCATGATTTTTTTTTTACCACTGGCCAAACAATCAAAAGCCAGAACACAAAGCCCAGGTGAAGAAGTCCATAGAAGTCAGCCCCAAATAACACATGGCAGGAGAGAGCACGCTGGAGAATGGATCTGGAGGAGAAAATTGAGTTTGACCAGCAGGCTTTCCAATTTTTGCTAACGGTAGAATTGGTGTCGGCAGCATACAACAAAGCAGCCAAACTGATATACCCTCACATTACAGATAAAAAAAATGAATTTCGAAGAGGTTAGGTTACTTTCCAAAGGTCACATAGGTAATACGTGTAGGACTCTACAACAACCTAAATTTAATAAAGGAAATTTAAAAGGCTGTAAGAATCAAATCAGTCTGTGTCTGTATGTATATGTATACACACACACAAATCACTGAATCAGAATACGCAACCTAAAAACAATGCTGGTATCCATAAAAATGCAGTGTGGTATGAGACATCAGTGGGGAAAGGAAAACTCATTTGTCAAATTTGGAGTCGGGGGAATTGTTAAATATATGAAGGGGAAATCAATTTAGATCAAATTGATTTTGATCAATTACCCAAATTCCAAATGGATTAAAGACCAAAACATGGGCTGGCCAAGTGGCTCAGTTGGTTAAGAGTACGAGCTCTGAGCAACAGGGTCGCCAGTTCGATTCTCACATGGGCCAGTGAGCTGTGCCCGAGCTGAGCTGCTGCTGAGCTACCAACAGGTGGCCAGATGGCGACTGGACTTGGAACTGAGCTAGCTGCACCCTCCACAACTAAGATTGAAGGACAACTTGGCTGTTCCCCTTCCCCAATCCCCCAATAAAATCCTTTTTTTAAATGGCCTTAAAAAAAAAAACCCAAAATGTGACTACTACAAAACATTGCAAACAAAACACAGTATATTTTAAATCCAGAACCCTCTATCCAATCTTCCATTCAGTGTAGGCATAAAGACCTCTCCTTTAGAAGACTTTTCAAAAATTACCTCCAAAACTACCATTCTCAGGAAGCTTCTGCAGGATATGCTCCAGCAAAAGAAGAGTAAATGCAATAAAAAGGAAAACATAGAATCCAGGAAACAAGAGACTCTAACATAGAAAAGCAGCAGAGAATTCCATGGATGACACTTATGCAGTAGTCCTTGGGTGCAGCCAGTCTAATTGAAGCAATAGGACAAAGGGCATTTGAAGAGTTAATTCCAGGACAAATGAAATTAAAACTGAAACAGATATAAGTAACTGGAAAATATTAATAGGCATGCAACGGAGATAATTCAGGTATTTGGAAATAATTAGTAAGAGACTCAATTCATATAACTATCCAGAAAAAGCAAATCCATAGAGAAAGCAGAATGGTGGTTGCCAGAGACTTGGGCGGGATAAAGGAGAATGGAAATGACTGCTTAATGGGTATGAGGTTTCCTTTTAAAGTACTAAAAATGTTCGTGAATGTACTGTTACTAAATGGCACACTTTAAAATGGTGAATCTTATCTTGTATTTTACCACAATGAAAAGAAAAAGATACAGAGCAAATTAAGCAATAAGGGCAATTACTAAATACACCAGAAAATATAGATTAGATAAGAGAGTAGGCGTGATTTTTTTTTTAATTGGGGAATTGGGGGAATGGGAACAGTGCTGGGGAATTGGGGGAAGGAGAACAGACAAGTTGCTGTCGTTTTGTTCTTCAATCTAGTTGTGGAGGACGTTGCTTCACTGGCCCAAGTTGGCACCATCATTGTGCTCTTCCCGGGTGAGGCAGATCAGTCGCCGGCTTCTGGACGGCTGCTCACTGCGGCTGCTGGCCGCTCACGCTGGCTGCTGGCTACACACGGTAGCCCATGGCAACCCACTGCAGCAGGGACTGCAGCCTATGCCGTCGCCGGCGACTCACAGCAGCCCAGCTCCAGGTCGAGCTGTTGTTCAGCATCTTAGCTGTGGAAGGCAGTGTCACTGGCCCTCATATGTAGGATCTGAACCAGGGCCCTCTGGCATCCCAAGCCAGTTCTTAACCATCGCGCCACTTGGCCGGCCCAGTAGGTGTGATTTTAAGGCATGATTAGGTTTGGTTGTCTTTGCATATTCATAATTAAATGATGACTACAGATTTAACCAAAAGTTGTGATATTAACAAATTAGAGATATGGAGGTAAGAGGTTTATGTTTGGGGGAGTGGTAATAAAAGTTCATTCTCACCTACCACATCAAGTCAACAGACTATTTAAATAGATGAACTAAAAAATAGCAGTATAAGCTTATTATTTAGAAATATGGAGGTCAATAAGAGAATAGTAGAAAAGGTAAGGATGGCTGCTCTGGTAAGTGGGAATGGGGGGGTGAAGGTGAGGGGGGCAGACAGAGCAGGAGGGAACAGGAGCTGCTATTTATTATAAACATTCCAGCCCTATTTGAATTTAACTGTTATGTACAAGTATTGCTTCTTTAAAAAAGACACTTAAAAGCAGAGAAAAATATTTGTAACCTAATTTTTTCACTTAAATTGGAAAAACTATAAAAGATCCATAGATATCATTATATGGGAAGTGCAAAAATGGCCTATCACCTCATCCCTTCACATGTCTTCTTAAAAACCTTTCAGACCAACAAACAGCACAAATAAAACTAAACACGAGTTGTTATGTGGAATGGGTCGTGTACGGAGAGGGTAAAAATTACAGAAACGTTTACCATTGCAAATGTCTACAGCAATCAGGCAGATAAAATACATTGGGCAAACAGGATAAACAAGTGACGAAGCCAGTTGTAAGACAATGGGGTGTTGGGGACCACAGGAAATGTACATGTCTCTGTCTGGAAATGTTGCAATTGAAAACATTTTAAAACATTCCAAACCAGCTTCCCTGTTGGCTAAAGACAATAGGAGAAAGGTTTGAGAGCAAGGAAGACCAGATGAGCAAGGACACTGACCCCTCTCGGTCCCGTCAGCATTCCAAGGGACAGAGAAGGCCACCAAGAGCAAGGGAGAGAGGAGGCCTACGAGGTGAGAAAGGAGTGGAAGATGTGATAACATCCCAATTTCCTTTGAGAAAACCGTCTCGTCTCCATTGTGTGATGTCATCAGGAGTGCCTGCCTCCCAAGATGGAAGCCAGGACCATGTTTCCCACCCCTTCCTAAGGAACCACAAGTCAGGAGTCTAGGATCAGCTGATTGGATGCTCTCCCCAGGGACTGGAGATGTACAGCAAGATCTTAAGACGCTTAGGGTTCACCATAGTGGTCAGAGGTCGGCATGCTAACTACAAGGCCCACATGTCCACAACGTGGGCTGGGAACTTGCAGTGTGACCACAACCCGAGATGCAAGCAGGGCCGGCAGGGCAGTAGGAGCTCAGTAATAATGAGCCATCAGCAGCACCGGACTCCTAGCACCTGAAAACACATGGTCAGTAATAACACATACGCATATACATTTTAACTTTGGTCATTAAAAATACTAATAAGCAACTGTTAGGTCATAATAAAGAACAAAGGTGGCCAGTTTAAAGGCAAAATTTTTAAATAAACATTATGACAAAAAAATGTCCTTTTGTTACTAGAAATATGTAGAAAAATTATGAATTCGCTTCAAAGCCAGTTTTCAGAATCAGTTTAACTCGACTTCTTTACCTAAGTTTAGAGCTACCAATCACCCCCTCTAGCCAGTATACTGTAGATTATTATTCCAAACTGGTCACAACGTCATGGCTTCAGCAGATAGATACATTAAGGAGGATGGAGCGCCTCCTTAATCCCTAATTAGAGAGAAATTATAAATGTTAAAAAATGTTTAATTAAAACAAACACTGATACAGATTGTACTCTGGAACATTTGTTTAAAAATAATATGCTGGGGAAAAGAAAACATGGTATAAAAATATTTCAATAAAAAATAATCCACACAATTTCACAAAACGAAAATGGCCTGTTATTATATGATTCCTAAAAATGTTTTGAACAGCACTTTACTTCCCTCAGATAGTATTATAGTCACTAAATAAGACAGGGATAGAACACCTAACACTGTGACCCAAAAAGGAAAACCACAGTAAGATTTTTAAAGTAAATGCCCAAATTGCATGATTTTTTAGTCAGTTATATTAAAAACTATGTCTATTTCTTTCCATAAAAATGACATTAAACTGTATATAGTTTTGTATCTTGTATTCCATACAGAAATATATTAACATTTTCACATGTCAATAAGTATTATTCTATGGCTTAAAAAGAGTGTATGTATCAAAACAGAATAGTATTTTGAACTTTAAAAAATGGAACAAAATTTAGCTTTCAGTAGGATCATTTTGATACTTAAAAATTTTGAGTCCCTAATTCAGTAATGCGGAGCAGACAAGTGTGCGTGTATGTGTGTGGGGAGCAGGGTGGAGGAGGGGGGGGGATCTGCAAATGCGGATTCCAACTACCTGCTTCTCCGACATCCTTTTCTTTTTTGTTCGTTTTAATTTTTAATCAGTTATACATTCTCTTAAGAGTCAAAAAGCTCTACAAGCCTAGCTATGAAAAATAGCGATCTGTCTTGTCCATGCCCCACCCCCCAATTACCCTCCCCCAGTGATTGAGAATTTACCTCCCTACATTTATAAGCCCATGTTGCTATTTTTTTCCCTTTTGTAATTTTAGGTATTATGGATTTTCCACTACAGGACAAAGACCTGTCCGCCGTTCTAACCTACCCTCACCCCTGACTTCTTCCTGCCAACATGCTCTCTAAAGGTGGATCATCAGCATTTGGCTTGACATTCAAGGTTGACAACAGCGTACTTGTGAACACTGGTCACAGCGGGGCCATGAAACATGTGAATCCCTTTTCTTCCCTTATTAAGTGTAGAATTGCTTGGTTTTTTCATTTGCTTGCCTCTCTGTCATATCTCAACCCCCAACTGCGAGTTGTTCAAATCTCTCCATACACCTGATGCATCGGGTCATCTACAAATGTCACCTTCAAAGGCTTCTGCCCTAGTCCAATCTGGCCGAAGAGGGGGTGACGGCTGCCACCCATCGGGGGAGCGTAGGCCGCCAGGAAGACAGAGGAGTCGTAGGAGGCAGCGTGAGCTCCACAGGTGCCCTGGGCTAAACCACCCCAAAGGCTCCTGGGAGCTTCTCAGAGAAGGAAGCGGACTCTGGGCAAAGAGAAGTAAACTTTGCCCGGGTCACGACCACCCACACTGCCATACACACTGTGGCTATTCCCTGAGAACAAACCCAAAGGCCACTGCAGAAACCTAACAGCTAAAGAAAAGAGCCTCAGGCTGCATGAGAAACCCAGGCGCAGTCCTCGGCAGGCACAGGTTCTCAAGCATGAGTGATACCTACGCCTTCCCCACAGATTTCTTCTGGGGTGACACAAGTCAGTATAAGCAAGAGAAGTAGTAATGCTGATGGCTACCCTAAGTCATTTGAAACAAAGCAAGTCCTCTCATGGGGATATTGTGCTATGGTGCCCTGTACAGGAGAGATACTTCCTTTCAATCACACGCTTTCCAACACAGGCTGGAGGGCGGCAACGGGGAGCCACACTCGCCAGAGAATTCCTTACTTGCTCAGACGTTCCTGCATCTACTGGGAGATTTTCATTTTCTTCTCGATCATGTTCTGTGTTTTTCCAAATTCCTACCATGGCGTGTACTATTATAAAATAATCATCAACTTAAAAAAACCAATAACTACTAGTGACATAAAAATCCATCTAGTCTATCTTTTACTAAATATGGCTATGTCGTGATAATTTTATTTATATTTTTTAAAAAATGAGTGTCTTGATTTAGTTAGGACCTCAGGGGCATAAGGGATTAACCACTGTCATTTCCAAAATGATGCATTTATTCAGGGCAAATCTTAATTTTCTTTGTCTTCTTCGAAAGAAAGAGCTGCAAGAATGCCTAAAAGACTTGAAATAATGTCAACTTAAAGTATTTTCACTGAAACTTGATTCCTTGGGCCAGAGGAAGGTCCTTACTGTAGTTGATGGTACTAGGGAGAAAAAAAATGAACAAAATTAAATGAAGGATAGTACATAAATAATACAGAATAGTTGTATGCCATTAAAAAGTGTAGCTCTCTCTATATATACTATTAACAAGGTGAAATGTCCAAGTTACAAGTTGGGGAATAAAAAAATTAGGATACAAAACAATGTTAGTGTGGATTCAGTTTTATAAAAGAAAAAAAAGGACAGAGATGTCTGGACACACAACATGTTATTCAGTTTTCAGGGCACAAGGATGTGGGAACTGTAACAATTTTCTTCATATCTCTCAATAGCTTGCAGTGAATTAGCAAGAAAAACACAGATATCCCCATTTTGATAAAAATAAGAACTATAATAATGTAGAAAAGAACATCTTCCCTATTAGCCAGTTATCTGGTAGTTATCTCATTTTTCTCCTAAGAAAACAAGTGTCCCATTTAGTGGGCTCCCAAAAGGCCATAGCTACTTGTTTTCCACTCTAGTTCTCAAAGGCGCAAGAAAAGTAAAAAAAAACATAACTGACTTCAGAGCATGGGAATCAGGCCAAAGCGTGTGCATGTGGTTGGGACTTAATAAGCCACAGCAAAAAGCACTTGAGGAATTCCTGACAGATATAAAGTCACTAAGGAGCCAAGGCTGAGACACCCACCCAATGTTACAGAGCGAGTGAGAAGCAGTAAAAGGGGCTAGGACAGGTGTCCTTGGTTCCTTACTCTCTGCCATTTCTACAGCATTAACACATGGGCCTGGCCCCACATACTCTATTTTATTGCACTTGGGTAAAGCTATTTCTACCCAAGGGGGAGGAAAAACAGAATACAAGTAAAAGGGACAACTCCTAGTCAATATCTCCCAGAAGCCGCTCTCTCACCAGCTACCCATATGCTGGGTGAACGAGCTAGCCCAACTTTCAAGGGTCAGGCTCACTATTCTGAGAGCTGGTATCCCCCAGCTTGTTAGCCAGGCCCCCAGGCCTCCTGCCCATCTCCATCTCCTCCTGCTTCTGCAGTCTGCAAAGGTGGTAACTGCACCCATGGAAAACAATGAAAGGACAGCTTCTTCCATTTTCTCCTGCTGTTGACCTCCCCCCCCCACCCAAGTGTCCTGTTTCTATGCTGTCTCTAGATAGAAACCACCAATGAGATGGTTTCATGGTCAGGTGCTGGGCACTAGCTGAAGCTGGACAAGAAGGGAAGGGAAGCAATAGTACAAAATGGATGCTCTGGGAAGGGAGAGCTTGGAATATTAGTAAAATTAAATTAAATGAAACCGCATGAAGGCAGCAGAAAGCAGAAGCGTGCAAAAGCACATTGCCTCGGCTTTAAGCCCAAACCCATCTTCCCATAGCCTTTTCTTACCAAGTAGATCTTCTCATGTACTGTTTCCAGGCATCACTACCAGACTCCCTGCCACCACCGGTGTGCTTTTCTCCTCCTGGAGAAATACAAAAGCAGCTCATATCTCATTTCTTGGCCACTTGCTTTCTGTGTGGGTTCCTACTCGGTATCATTGAAATGGAGATACCACAAGGAGATACCTGACCAGTTCCTGTACATTTAGTCCAGAGTATCTCCTCTGAAAACAAATAAATAAAAGACAGGGACTAAAATAAACACAAAAAAAGGAACTAAGAGGGAAAATAAAAGGAATTAAGAGGAAACAGAAATGTGTCAGGAAGCAGAAGAAAACCTTAAGAAAAAAAAAAACTTACCATTAGACCAAGGTGTTAAGAATGGAAACCTCTGGACAGCAGAAATACAATTTTATTTTCTCATTTATGCTTATCTATATGTAATTTTCTACCATATACATAAGCTGCTTTTATAATAAAATATTTTAAATGTGACATTAACGTCCTTAGAGAGGTTACAGGAAGATAATGATACCATAGAACAAGAAAAGTATACTGTTTAAAAGTGCTATCCAAGCACAAGTAATAAATAATAAGAGCAGAGAAGAAAACTTAATAGAAGAATTAGAACAAAAATTAAGGAAATCTCCCATATTAAAAAAAAAACTAAAGGAATGAAAAATAGTATGAAAAAGATAACAAAATTAGACAATTGACTTTTTAAAAGATAACACTCAAAGAATAGCAGTTCTAGAAATTAACATAGAGAAAATCAAAGGGAAAATTGTCAAAGAAACACTACCAAAACAAAACTAACAAAAACTTTCCAAGACTGAAGCTCTGAGGCCCAATACCGTAAGGTCAAGGCCACTGGTTATCCAACAAAAATTGTAACAAAGATCTCTACTGAAGCATTATTACTGTGAAATTTCAGAACATCAGACTTACATAGTAGACCCAAAGTTTTTTGAAACATGGAAAGAAAAGATCAGAAATCAAAGTGGACTGGGCTTTTCAACCACAATACCGGAAACCAAATGACAAATGAGTAGCAGCGTCAGAAATCTGAGGAAAAAGTATTACAAATTGTTCAGAACAGGTACAGCAGGTCTGCTTTCGATGTTGCTGGCATCTGGGAACTCGACTGCTGAGCAGTTCCCCACACTGATACAAAATGCTCCCTAAGTGAGCAAGGTGTCTATTGGACCTAAACTGTTTTTTGTATAAACATGTGGTTTATAATAAACATCTGCTTTCCTTCTGGGAGGCTGGTATTTTGGTATGCGAGAGGCAGAGGGTGCCTACGTGACCCGTCTATAAAAAAGCCTTGTACACCGAGTCCCTGAAGAGGTTTCCTGGTTGACTATGTTGCACATATGTTGTCACAATCCATTGATAGAATAACTGAGCACATCTTGTGTGACACCACCGAGAGAAAACTCGTAGAAACTTCTGTCTGGTTTTCTCTGGCCGTCACCCCATGTGGTAAAGTCATATCATATACAGGGAAGAGACCGAGGGTTTAAGAAGGTTAATCTAGCACAACAGAGGAACAATACAAAATGCCCTAAGTTGTGAAAATGAAAGCACTTAAAGTACACTACTTGGAAAAATTGAAGTAAATTCAAAGGTAAATTTACTTTTTTCCTTTAGTAAGAAATCTCAAAGTAGCTGCCTCTGGAAAAGAAGGAAGAAGAAAGTGTGGAAAGAACTGCGTTTTCCATTATAAGATTTTTTTTAAACTTTAAAAATTAACTGTGGGGGCTGAAATAAAGAAGAGTCCACTGGAGAAAGAGTCATGGGCCAGACACTGGGAACAAAGGCCTATATAGGAGGAGGAGATGCCACTAAATAGTGGAGGGCAGGGGTAGAGGGGTGAGCTGAACGCAGGGACCTTTTACTAAAGTCTGCACACTGAATAGTAATGACAATGTGACCATGTCCGGGCTAAAATATATAAAAGAATGCCTTTGATTATTTAAACTTTTACAGGCATTAACACATGCTTGCTTTGCTTCTATATGTATTTTGAAAAACCAAGACAATCTGTTTGTACTGTACTTTGGATCATTTTTAGTAAGTAAAACAATATGATTGTTGGGAAGGGCTTTTTTTATTTTATTTTTTTAATATTTTATTGGGGAATTGGGGAAGGGGAACAAACAAGTTGCTGTCCTTTTGTTCTTCAGTCTAATTGTGGAGGACATCGCTTCACTGGTCTATGTTGGTATTGTGATCATTGCGCTCTTCCCGGGTGAGGCAGTCAGTCACTGGCCATTGGACGGCCGCTCACACCAGCTGCCGGCCACACACGGTAGCTCACAGCAGCCCACTGCAGCAAGGGCTGCAGCCTACGCCATCGCCGGCAACGCATGGCAGCCCAGCTCCAGGTCCAGCTCTTGCTCACCATCTTAGCTGAAGAGGGTGCAGCATCACTGGCCCTCTACAGCTAAGATGCTGAACAACAGCTGGACCTGGAGCTGGGCTGCCATGAGTCTGCCAGCGACGGCGTAGGCTGCAGCCCTGCTGCAGTGGGCTGCCATAAGCTATCGTGTGTGGCCGGCAGCCAGTGTGAGCGGCCAGCAGCTGATGTAAACTGCCAAGAGCCGCTGTGAGCGGCTGTCCAGAGGCTGGTGACCGATCTGCCTCACCCAGGAACAGCGCAATGATAATACCAACATGGGCTAGTGAAGCAACGTCCTCCACAACTAGACTGAAGAACAAAAGGACAGCAACTTGTCTGTTCCCCTTTCCCAGATTCCCCAGCGCTGTTCCTCTCCCTCAATTCCCCAATAAAATCTTTAAAAAACCCCAAAATAATCACTAATACTAAGTTTAAGCACTAAGAGCTCAAGGTTTCTAAAAAGAAAAAAGAAACAGGGCTCAGTGACAAGAAACAACTTATAACAGTATTTTATCTAAGATAAAAGATAATGTTTGACATTTACTATGCCTACTTAGCAAATAAAAAACAGAATTTTTCACGTGAAATGTTATGGCTTTAAAGCGGGGGTTCTTAATCTTTTTTGGCTCTTAGACCTTCTCCCCAGAAAATTAGATGCCACCATCTCAGGGGGTCACACATCTCGGGTTAAGGGCCCTGCACTAATGTGATGTTACATCTGAGAATGAAATGGCGGACGTTGGACATAATTCTGAATATTGAGCATAAGCTTCCTCAAGCATGTTAGACAAGATAAAACTATTACTTTAGTTTCTTGGTCAAACTTTTCTAAAAGCTACTTCTTTTCCTTTGCTGCCTGTTCTAGACTGAATTGTGTGCTAGTTCCCTCCCCCTCCCCATTGATATGCTGAAGCCTCAACCTGTAATACCTCAGAATGTAACTGTATTTGGAGATTGGGTCTTTCAGTAGGTAATTGAGGGTAAATGAGGTCACAAGGGTAGGCCCTCAGCCAATAGGACTGGTGTCCTTATAAGAAGAGAAAGAGACATCAAGGATGTGCATACAGAAAAAAGGCAACCTGAGGACACAAGAAGGCGGCCATCTGCAAGACAGGTAGAGACCGCAGGAGAAACCACACCTGCCAACACCTTGATCTTGGACTTCCCAGCTTCTAGAACAGCAAGAAAATAAATTTCTGCTGTTTCAGCAACCCACTCTGTGGTATTTTGTTACGGCAGCCCGAGCAGACTAATACCCTCCCAGACATGGAAAAGGAGACGCAATTCTACCTACCAAAGGCACCTCCAATCTCAGCTCCACTCGTTGGAATATTGACATTCACAATGCCACAGTCAGATCCTTTTGGCCTGTGTGTAAAAATGAGAGGCATGGTGAGAACAATGTATAGGAAAGTAAAAAAAGAAAAATAAATAAAAAATGCAAACAAAACCCCTAAGACTCTTAAGGCCAAAAAATGGGTTTTCAACTATGATGCTTTCATGTTCTTTTTTTAAAATCCATCACTGTACAAATCAGACTTAAGTTTTCAAAAATAAACAATGTTGGGGGTCAGCCGAGTGGGTCAGTTGGTTAAGAGCATGAGCTCTGAGCAACAGGGTCCCTGGTTTGATTCCCTCATGGGCCAGTGAGCTGCGCCCGAGCTAAGCTGCTGCCACCGAGCTACCAACAGGTGGCAGGATGGCTCAGTTGGTGAGAGCACATGCTCCTAACAACAAGGTTTCCGGTTTGACTCCTGCATGGGATGGTGGGCTATGCCCACCTGCAACTAAGATTGAACACAGCACTTGAGCTGAGCAGCCGCGTGAGGTGCCAATGGGTGGTTGGATGGCAACTGGACTTGGAGCTGAGCTAGCTGCACCCTCCACAACTAAGACTGAAGGACAACAATTTGGCTATTCCACTTCCCCAATTCCCCAACACTGTTCCCCTTCCCTAATTCCCTAATAAAATCTTTTAATAAATAAATAAATAACTAAATAAACAAACAAACAATGTTATACCCAAGCCAGCGGAAGATTCTGCCCAAGTCCTTGGTAAAGATGCTACTTGAAAGTCCCTGTTTTACTTCGTTATTCCACGCAAAGACCTCTTCTTCATTCTAAAAGGACAGACATTGGAAATTGTTAGATGATGCAGTGTTCAGGTCAAGGTTTACTGATGTTAAACTCACTTCATGAGATGTGCCAATATCATTTCAGTGCAAGACAGGAAACTTAGCGTCAACATCTGACTGATTTTGTTTCTCCTATACAGTGCTTTGTGGTATTTTCTCCCTAATTGTATTTTGAGAAACAAAGACCAGTACATTCTTCCATTCAAGCTACTACACATACTAGCTAATATTTATTGAGCTCTTATTATGTGCAGTACACTGATCTAAGCATTTAGCATGCATTTGGTTATTTAATCTCCACCCTATGACATGGTTTTCTATTATCCCCAATTTACAGATTAGGCACTGGAGGCCCAGAGGCTAAATAATTTGCTCAAGACCTCACAGTCACACACACACACACTGCAAAACATGAAATTATACCCTCTAGGCACCATATGTGAAACGACAGATAATGTAAAGCAAGGTTTTCAAAATGCAATCATGTAATTGCAACAAAGCGCAATTCTCATTCTTCTTCAACTGTGAATCATGGCATATTCAAACCTTGATTCAATCTCTCAATACTTCCTGGCAAGGCGAGGGCCTGTCTCATGCTGGGGATGGAGATCCTCTACTGATCTTCATTTGTTAAAACCTCTATGGCTCATCCTCTGATACAGGTCGAAAATACAGACCTTTAGCTTGCTCTATGTCTTCTCATTTTGTCTGCTGATACTTCGCCCTCCAACTAACAAACGATCTTGTCCTGTGCAAAAGCCAAATTTTTGGCCCACACAGCTCTGAATAAGGTGACCCAGGAGATGAGGGCCATGTTTTCCATAAACTCCAACACTGGTTCTGCGCTCATCTTGGTTTCCCCGGCAGTTAGCGGGACATGCTCTATAGTTTAAAGTCATATTCTATCCTAACCTTCAAATTTCTACTAATCAAGAGTGACTTTCTAAAACGCCTCCAAAGGTGAATCGAGTGAAATTTAATACGCCTTTTCTCCTAGTCTTCTCATCTGTTTCAACATTAGACTAGAGAAAAGAGAGACAAAATCCATTTTTACCTTGAATTTAAAGACATAAAGAACTGGAGCAAAAGTCTCTGTGTGTGCAATGGATGCGTTGTGGGCAAGACCTGTCACAATGGTCGGTTCCACATAATTTCCAGGGCGATCCATAACCTTCAGGAGAGAAAGGAAATAAAAAGAATGAAAGCATTTTGGTTTCTAGCACTTGGGGTCAGAGGACACAATCCTATGCTTATGTGAAAAAATAAACACCATTTATAGGTGAATTATTTCTCCAAAATCACTTCCCATCATGAATAAAAATGTTCTCTGCGTCCTATTGGCTCTACCTTGGTCAAAGAAACACAGAAAAAAAAGGAGTCGAGAATGGAGAGCTGTACCATGTGTCACAACCAAGTTATGCTGAGAAAAGCTTGTTTTAAGTAATTATTTTACAATTTAAATAACTTTAAAATAGGTCATCTATACCCATTGTGTTATAGACTGCATTGTGTTCCCCACCAACTTCATATGTTGAAGCCTTAACCCCCCAGGAAGACTGAATTTGAAGGCAGGGCCTTTAAAAAGATAAAGTTAAGTGAGGTCACATGGGTGGGCCCCTAATCCGACAGAACTGATGTCTTTTATAAGAGGAGGAAGAGACACTGGAGACCTTCTCTCCATGCTTGGAGGAAAGGCCATGTGAGGACACTTGATACCAGGCCTAGAGGCCTCATCGGAAACCAATCCTGCCAGTACCTTGATTTTAAACTTCCAACCCAAGAACTGTGAGAAAAGTAACTTTCTGTTTTTCCAGCCCCCAAGTCTGTGATATTTTATTATGGCGGCCCTAGCAAACGAATGCACATTGTACAAAACTCAAAAGCTCCAAAAGGGCCTACTGTAGACACTCCCTGAACTAACCTCCACGTAAGCAAATGACTAGTTCATGTCCACTTAACTAACACTCGCTTTTCCTTCTGTAAAATGTTCCCGTGCCCACAGCAGGCTGGTGTGGCTGGTGGCTGAGCCTCCGGGGCGCCTGGGAAACTGCTCTCACCCGCTGGGCTCCGTGTTTACCAAGAGTCAACTGTGTTTACTCCCAATCCTGAACGTGACAGCTGTATTTGTTATAGGAATGCCATGCGGCATTACATAGATAAATATTACACAAAGGAAAAACAGAGGTAGTTCTATAAAGATTAAGTTGAATGCTTCAGAAAAAAAAAACCTCAAAATAAGTAAAAAGAAAACACACAATATCGATATACATGTCTGTCCAATGAGGTGTGGGTGTGTCAGTGTTAAGAGGAGTCTTCTCTGAGAGAGCTTTGCAAGAGACTCAGTTCTCAGTGAATTTTAAAGGAAGTGAAACTAAATCGTAATTAATAAATTATTGGTATAGCATATGCAAGGATGAAGACAAATTCCTATCATACATGAAGAATACACTTTGACTCTATCGAAAGAATCAAACAAATGTAGTTATCTGTGTTAAAATGTTTTTGGTGTGTATTTTTTTTTGATTCTGTCTTCACTGATCTTTTAAAACAACCATTAAATATGAATTCTAATTACTCGGAATATAAACTCTTCTACAAAGTCTTGAGTGTTTGATATCTTAAGTATCATGAGGAGTGCTCCCTTCCATCAAATTCCCAGAGACTCAACTCAAAGGCTCATGACTCTGAGGTTCTCGTGTGCACTTCCAGAAACTTTCCATGCAGCTTATGTCGTCCTTCTTTAAAACATATATTTCCTCTTTACAAAAGCGAGGAAAGGAGAAAGATGGCAGCTGAGGATCCCCCACCTGTTTGCCCAGAGCCCTGCTTGTGCCTAAAGGAAAGGAAGTAAAAACCTGTCACTCCTGAGCCCGAATTTTCCTTACCTTGCCACCATACACCACTGTGCCACCTTCTTTCTTGGCAGCCTCCACGGCTCCAAGAAACATGCTCACTGCCTGCTTGGTGTGCAGTGGCCCATAGAGAACATTAGCTGAAGAGAAAAAGGAAACGTTCTTCATTTCACCCTACATGGCATCATTTTATTATTAACAGTTTTCCCAATGAACAGACCCACCCCTTCATATAGTCTCAGTTTAGAGCAGGCGTCTGCAGCCTTTTTCTATAAAGGGCCGCACAGTTGTAACATATCTAATGGTTTGCATGACATATGTGGTCTCTGCCACAACTACTCAACTTGGCCACTGTCATGTGAAAGCAGCCACAGCAGATATATAAACCAGTGGGTGGGGCTGCTGCTGTGTCCTGATAAACTTTCTCTCGGGTGGTAGGCCACATCTTTTGTCAATCCCTGGTTTAGAGGAATGGTTATCAATTAATCAGAGTACTGCATTAAAAATACAGGGCCTGCTTATCCATTTATTGATTCTCTAAGAACGTCACAGGCCCAGCAATTCCCAGGGGAGAGTCTGATGCTGGAAAGCAGAGCCAAGGTGAGCCCAGGGACAGAGGAAGACGACTTAGATGGGCCTCAGGGAGAATGGCGCTGAGTCACAGGAAGAGCTCGGTGAAGAGCCTTTCCAGCGGAGAGCAGGACGGAGCCTGGAAGCCCAAGCACTCAGAGAAGGCTGGAGGAGCTGGAGCTCAGGGAGCATGGGCGCAAATGGCGCCCACGAGTCAGGAGGTGGGCAGGGGAGTCGGCAGAGGTCAGATCAGGAAACCCTGTGAGCCTGCTAAAGAGGGCGTCAGAGGGAATCTAGGATTTAGTCAAAGAGCAATGAGAAGTCACTGGAGGGTTTTAAGCAGGAAAGTGAATTATCTACTCTAATTACGTTTTTCAAAAATCTCTCTGGTTACTGGGGAAGGCAGATGTGGAAACAGGCAAGTCAGTGTGCTGAGTCTTGCAGCCTTCCCTGGGTGAGAATGGTGGTGGCTTAGATGAGGGTGCCAGTAGTGAAGCGAGAAGCTTGTCAGGCTCATCCCATCTGAACACATTCTCCAGGCTCAACCTCCAGCCCACATCAGGCACTCAGGAGCCTAACCTAGGAGCAGATACTCACCCTACATGCACTATAACCTGCTTCATATGCCCTCAGGCCTCTCAGGAAAGGTGGTGGAGGGGAAGGGGGAAGATCAGAAACATGTAACACCAGCTGTGAAAAAGGAACACCTTTGACAGGGCAGCCAGTCAGCTCAGTTGGTTAGAGCGCAGTGCTTGTGACACCAAGGTGGCTGGTTTGATTCCCACATGGGCCACTGAGTTGTGCCCTCCTCAACTAGATTGAAACAACTGCTTGACTTGGAGCTGATGGGTCCTGGAAAAACACACTGTTCCCCAATAGAAAAATTAAAAAAAAAAAAAAAAGAACACCTTTAAAATCAATGAGATACTCACGGTCCCATGGGTCCCCAACCCGGATCTGTGCATAGGCCTTTTTAAGTCGATTTACAACTTCATCATGAATACTTTCATGTAAAAACTACGCAAAAAAAGAAACAGGTAAGGGGATAGTCAAATAAATGTACAAATTTGTTAACAATGTACAATTTTTCTTAATAGTACTGATTTATAGTTCTTAATTTTGAAATACTGTGATCTCTGAAAACATGCAAATAGAAGGTTTATTTTTATAATTATATAATTTCAAATTTTAATATTAACTACATGAAGATAATCATTTCCTCTAGGTAGATGTTAGAATACAATCATAAGCCACGTCTTGATCAAGTCTCTAATGACCTATTTATCCCAGCTTCACAAATCAATTATGCCTGTTTCTGTTCTAGTGTTTGGTATCTTACGTAGCAGTAAACCTGAAGCATACCTATCCCACACTATCTCTGTATGAATCATGGTGGACACATACAACAACGATTTGGTCAGCCTGCCTCTCCTGTGTAACCACAGGCTCTCAGCCTCAGGCTGAGTAGATCTCCAGAGTGAGGCCTCACTCAGGTGAGGACATGCCTTAGACTCACTCATGGTAGGATATCCATGCTATGTTCCCAGTTGTGGAGGTGAACTTGTCAAGCCATCCATTCTGAGTTGGTCTCCATGTGGCAAATGCATTGACATTATGAGAACTTGGCATGGAGAGGTCCGTAGTACTGCAATGGATTTTTATATATATCACTTAACTGTCCCCTATGGAAATTGATTTGGGCAATGACCAATGATACCCTCTAATTTTCCACACTAAATATAAAGCACAGCTTTATATTTATAAATATATAAATATAAATATAAATAAAGTATATTTGCTCTGACACAAAGGAAAAACAAAAGTTGGCTAAATAGAGAAATGCATCTTTTATGTTGTTTCATATTTTACCATGTAATTAAGAGTAGAATCTTTTGAAGTATCCATTTTCTTCTTAGCATTAATGTAATAAATGTTTACGGTGGTGAACAAATTTAATAAATTATAAATATTTTATGAATCTTGTATCTTAGATTTTTTTGAGCCTTTGAACTGAGTAACATAAACACAAAGGAAAGATACTCATTTGCTGTAAAATACAGGAAAAATGAATATGAAATGTTATGAGAAAAGATTTAATTTTCATATATCTTTTATCTTATTCTAATTAATCTAGATTATGTCAACCTTACAAAGAATGTGTTCATACTCGTTGTGGGTGAGAATAAAAATCCAAAGCCAATTTCTCTGTAACTCAATTGTAAACTGTTGAATTTTTTTTAATTTTAGGAAGAAAACTCAACACTAATGATTAAAAAATGGCAAATGTAGCCAAATTTTATACCTAACCAAAACTTGTTTGGCTGTAGTACACACAGTTTTTCAGTATCATGAGAGGCATGAAAATCAAGGGTGCAGCTGACACAAAAGAGAAAACCAGCTCAAATCTAAGTGTGGAGGATAAACATCCCAAACCCCACACTAAAGCTAAACACCTCCTCCTTACATGCATTTAATATTGTCTCTTATTCACTCATTCATTCAAAGAGAGAACACACATAGTCATTTTAAACCATGCCACATCAAGTCCAATCTGAGACTTGACTTGTAGGCCAAAATTTAAAATCTTTAAAATGTTTTTATAAAAAAGCCAAGGCTGTCTGTCTTTTAGCACATAGTTTTAGGATATTTAAAAATCTTAGCTTGTTTTAGTCTCTCAGTGGCACTGGATTTTGTCCATGTTACTTTAGGTATGGGAATGAAAATAGTCTCGCCCTCCTGTCCAAGTCCAATCAATTAGTGTGAGGGCACCTTTGCCTTGGGATGGAGGGGAAGGCCGAGTCCCGGGCTGATTGGCAACATCTGCCATGAGCAGAGGAGAGTAGGGCCCCACACTTGCCAACCACACCCAGGAAATACATGTTTCTAGCAGTACTTCTGCGGCACCTCTCTAGCAGTAGTTTGTTGGAAGGTACTGTGTAAAGAGCAGGACAACCTCATGTGCCCATCCAGACACACTTACCAGGCGCCTCGCAGTGGTACACCTCTGGCCGGCTGTCCCGATGGCCGCAAAGAGAGCTGACGGAACCACTAAGCTGAGGTCCGCATCCTCGAAAGCTTAGAGAAGCACAAACACACACCCATCGGTGTCACAAAGCAGGCAGACAAGGTGCTTACTAACTGGTATAAAATGATGCCTTTATTGCGTGCAGTAAGAGAACATCGGAACAATCCCTGTAAAATAGGGACGTTTCCATCACAGAGGCTACTTTTCTTCCGGAGAGTATATGAGAATAGAGCAATGGGCTCTCTGGTCTTCACCCCAGTACAGATGTACACTGAGGCGCCCCCTCCTCTGACCACTTCTGGGTCTCTAGCAGGCTCGCAGTCTTTCCAGATCTGACCGCCTCCCCTGCCCACCTTCCCACCCCTTGTACCTCCGCCCTCCTGATCGCTTCCTCTCTACTTTTGTTTGTTCCTTCCTCATCTTCTGCCCTCAGCAGAAGAAACTAGCACAGTCTTTACAAGGTTAACCTTCCGATTTATATTATCTGTACTTCCTACCTTCTCATCCCTCCGAGATTGTTACAATTCCCTCTCACATCTTCAGTTTTCCTGTCCAATCTAACAGCATTCTCAGACTTGTATGATAGTTTAAAAAGCTGGTTTGTGCACCCAAACAGACCAGGGTTCTTATCCATTTCCACCACTTTTCAGTTGTGTTTTTCCTTTTTAAGCCTCAGTTTCCTCATCCGTCTGGGATACCCATGGGCAATAGAAAGGAGTTAAGGAAAGAGCTGTGCGCTGGGGTCTGACTGCCAGTACACAAATCCTGGCTCTATCATGTGCTAGCCTGTCACTTCAGGCATATAATCACGTTAAGCCTCAGAGTGTAACCTTCAAATAAGATTAAGAATGATATCTGCCTCATGGGATTGTTGTGTGGATTAAATGAAACAATGCATATGAAATAGCTGAGCACAGTGCCTGGCAAACACCCAGTGCTAAGTGCTAACTATTTTTAAATGAACTCTCTCTTTCACCAGATTAGAAGTTCACTGAGAACAAATCCTTCGTCATAGACTTTTTAAACTTCTGTGTGTACACCACAAATATTGGGTTGTCGGAAAAGTCATGATGCATTTTTGCAACGAAAAACATCGAAAAAATACGTCACGACTTTTCCGACAACCCAATCTACAGGCATCTAAATGTGATGATGATAGCAATATACAGATCAGCAAGTTTTGCTTTGTATCACAAAATCCATGCTTTTATTAAGTCTCAACCTATTGAGGTTCATTTTATTATCCAGTTACACTGGTAGACTATTTCCTTTTGTGCCAAATAATTGAAAAAGAGAATTAAGTAATCTCCAAGCCTATAGGTAAGTGATTAAAATGCCTTAAGGAAGCATTCCTTCTCAGTATAAAAGCACTATGTATTCCACGAAAGACAAACTAAAGTTTTTGAAATCTAATGCAATCAGCAGGTCACATCGAGTTACTTATTCTAGAGACACACATGGCCAGTTTTCAGAAAACAGAAGGAAAACACGAAACGACACCATGTTAGGCGCAGACAGGTTCTAAGCAAGCCCAGGCTACGTTTTCCAAATATGAACACTTTTGTTTCCTGGTTCTCTCTGCCTCTCTGCCTCAGATCATCGCGTTCTGTCCCATAAGTAGGATTCCTAAGATGTGAATTAGGCCTTAGACACATACAACACAGAACAGATGAGTCCCTAAACAAATTCTATATATTCAGGACAGCTAGTGAAGATACTCTGTACAAAAAACAAAACAAAAACAAAAGGCAGTCTTACCAATAATGGCATTGTTTCCTCCAAGTTCTAACAAGCTTCTCCCTTTAAAAACATATAAACACAAATGAATGCCTATTTATCTATTAATCTAATTTATCTATTTATCTAATGCCTATTTATCATTAAATATCTAGCAGTATTTAATGCATACTGCTAGAGAGCCTCAAATCATAGCCTATCCCAATTATATTTTATTTTCTGATTTAAAACATAACATGAGCATTGCAATGTCAAATGTCCTGATTTTAATAATTATACTGTGGTTATATGACAGAATGTACTTGTATTTAGGAAACACACTGAAATATTTAGTGATAAAGGAACATGTCTTCAACTTTCTATCAATGGTCCAAAAATAACATGCAACCACAATGTGTGTGTGTGTGTGTGTGTGTGTGTGTGTGTGTGTGTGTGTGTGTATGCGTGCGCATGCGTTGCTGGAGAGAGAAAATGATAAAGTCAATAGGGCAAAATGTAAGCAACTGGTAAATCTAGTTAAAGGGTATACAAGAATTACTTGTGTGTCTTGTAACTCTTCTGTAAGTTTGAAACTATGTCCCAAAAAACCCTAGTTAGTATAAAATGGTACAGCCACTAGAGAAAACTATGTGGCCATTTCCCAAGAAATTAAACAGAATTACCATATGATCGACCTAGCATATGATCCACTCTTGGTACATAACCAAAACAAGTAAAATCAAGGACTCAAAAAGATATGTGTACCCCCATGTTCATGGTAGCATTATTCACAATAGCTAAATGGTAGAAGCAACCCAAGTGTCCATTGAGGGATGAAAGGATAAACAAAATATGGTATATACATAAAATGAAATATTATTCAGCCCTAAAAAGCATAGAAATTCTGACACATGCTGCAACATGGATGAACATTGAAGACATTATGTTAAGTGAAATAAGCCTGTCACGAAAGCACAAATATTGTGCGATTCTAGTTACATGAGGTTCCTACAATAGTCAGATCCATAGAGACAGAAAGTAGAATGGTGATTGCCAAGGGATGGGGGAAGGCAGAAATGAGGAGTTAGTTTTTAATGGGTACAGTTTCAATTGGGAAGACATAAAAAAGTTCTGAAGACAGATGTTGGCGATGGCTGCACAAGAATGTAAAGATACTTAATACCATAAAACTGCACACTTAAAAATAGTTAAAATGGTCAACTTTGTTATTTATATTTTACCACAATAAAAAAATGTTTAAAAAGATGTGTGCTATTGTAGAAACTTTAAAAAAAAAACTATCGAGTAGGAAGAAAGCCCATAGTTCACCATGGAATCTCTTATAAATTGATATAGTGCTTTGCAATCTTTTTCATGTGCATTTATATTCAGTTGAGATCATACTATCTAATTTTGCTTAATTTTCTGATTAGCGTCCTATAGTTTTTCCCTGAGTTATTGGGAGCTATTAAAAAAATCACTGCATAGTTTCCATCATGATGATGTACCAAATTTGATTTGGCAACTTTAGTGTTGACTATATTGATTATTGAACATCTCCCTCTTACCTACTTAGGTCAGGGCCAAAGGGCATGAATATTAGGATTACTATATACACTGCCAACTTACATGCCAGGCAAGTTATACAGCAGGCTGTGAATGCCATTCTGACCTTAGATGCCCCAGCATAAAGATTTGAAATTTGTTTGCCTCAATTTTAGAGCTGTGTTTACTACATTTTTTGAATTTAAATGCACTCTAAAACCAGCTTCTATGTAAATAACTTAATTTGTGATATCAGGAGCGTATATGACAGCAGGAGAATGGGTTCTCATTTCCACTGCTCTGAAACAGTTAACCACCAAGTAGTTATTAATTATAAGGGGTGAGGTTGTTATGAGCAAAACTCACTGACTGCTGTATCAGCTCATCTCTGCTGCAACAGTTGACTTAATGACTGCTTGCTGGCTACAGCAGAACACTAGACTGGGTTGCAAAAAAAAGAAAAGAAAAAAAGGGAACAGAAGATTTTACACCTAACAGCTCCCCTGTCTGGCTTCACGTGCTGTGGCAGAAGAGAAGGGACCTATACGTCCTACTTCCTTCCAATTCTCTACCTGCTCCCTACCCACAGTCCTAACAGCCAATTCAAGCCAAGAAAAGCAGCTGTAACTTAAGACAGGCATATACATTTTATTAAAATTATAATCGTATTAATACTACTACTTAAGAGAGAACAAACTACTGCTTTGAAAAAGAAGGGGAAGTGAAAAGAGATGAAATTTGCTAGTCAGAGGAGTGGAATTAATGGTCTTAAGCACTCTGCACGTGCTTACTGGCCAGTTATAATCTTCTTTGCATAAGTATCTATTCAAACCCTGTGCCCATTGTTTATTGGGTTGTCTTTTATGTTGTTGAATTTTAAGAGTTATTTATATATTCTAGATATACATCTCTTGTCATAAGATTTGTGAAGATTTTCTCCCATTCTATAGATTGCTGGTTTTTTTTATTGTTCATTGTTTTGATGGTGTCCTTTGAAACAAGTTTTTAATTTTGATGAAATCTATTTTTTTCTTTTGTTGCTTGTGCTTTAGGTGTCATATCTAAGAAACCATTGCTGAATCCAAGACACAAAAATGTATGTTTTCTTCTAAGAGTTTTATAGTTCTAGCTTTTGTATTTAGATCTTTGAAACATTTTGAGTTGTTTTTGTATACTGGGTAAGGTAGGACTCCAACTTCACACATACGTGGTATATATGTGAATATCTAGTTGTTCCAGCACCATTTATTGAAAGACTGTTCTTTCCCCATAGAAATGTCTTGGCACCCTTGTCAAAATCAGTTGACCATAAATGTAAGGGTTTATTTCTGAACTCTCGGTTCTATTCCAGTGATCTTTTATTTCTACCCTTAAGAAGTACCACTTAGTCCTGATTATTGTAGTTTTGTAGTAAGTTTTGAAATCAGGAAGTTGAGTCCTCCAACTTTGTTCTTTTTCAAGATTGTTTTGGGTACTCAGGGTTCTTTGCATTTCCATATGAATTTTGGGATCAGCTTGTCAATTGCTACAAAGAAGCCAGCAGACATTTTGAAAGAGATTGCACTGAATCTATAGGTCACTTGGGCAGTAACAACATTAAGTTAACCAAAAAGTGAAAATGGTATGCTTTACGTTTATTTAGGTCTTCAGTTTCTTCCAATGATGCTCTGTAGTGCTCTGTGTGAGAGACTTCCACTTCTTTTGTTGAATTTACTCCTAAATAGTTTATTCTTTTTGATGTTATTCTATTATTATAAATGTGATTTATAATATGTTATCTGAATTTCATTTTCAGATTGTCCATTGTTAATGTATAGAAATATAACTGATTTTTGTTTATCTTGTATCCTGCAACTGCCAAGCAAGTAGCCCTCCCCCACTGAAAAACTTTGATTTTAAGTTTCCTTCTCCTTAAAGTTTCCTTTTTCCCAGTTCTTTATCTCCTACCCCGTTTTAGAAAATTGCCCTAAAACTTGTGATTGATACGGATTGATTGTAATCATTGAAGCCTACTGTTCTTTCCAAACCTATTCCCGGGCCCAGCTCCTGGACAATTAACGTCACCTGAATAACCGATTAAGTGGCCACGGGCTCCATAGAGCGGATGGATTTTCCACCACGTAGCCACTTCGCGTCAATAATTCTGAGCTCTGCTCTTTAAATTTATTAATTAAAATCTATTTTTCCTCATTCAGGGGCCTTGGGGATACAGATGATATGCCAGCAAGATTACCAGTCCCAACCAAAGAAGCCAACACGGTCTTCCAGGCAGATCTGGAGACCCCTTCCTCTCATCTGAGATCAGCTAGGGTGAGAGTTCTGTGAATCCCCCAATAGGCAGGGACAACTCTACACCCCTGCCCAGCAGGAAATAGATACAGAAGAAGAGACCTCCTGTCCCTCAGCTTCCCATAGAGATTTTATGGGGATCACGTCTCTCAAGGGGAAAAGAAGGCAGGCAGTTAGAGATAGGCATTGGGTCAGTCTCTGCGTTCCTGCACGTCCAACATCACCCACAGGACGCGACCACCCAAAAGACCTCCTCTCTCCCTCCAAAGTTTCCCCTTCTTGCTGTAATTATATACCCCTTTGAGGAAAAAAATGGGTACGAAATACCCAACTAGATTAAACCAGCCACTCACTCTCCTGCACAGTAAAGGCCACAATGACCTTCATTTCACCTGGGCCTCATTATACCATCATTATAATATCATGCATTTGCCCGGAAGTTTATTAATACCATTATAATAGACTGAACTCTGGGACGGAACATGCGCAGTCTAAAAAGATGAGGCAGTAGTAGCCTCTTGTCAATCACAGGTGTCAATCAAGTGGTCCCATACCTGGAAAGACACAGCCCACTGTATAGAAAAAAAGGGTGAAAACTCCAAGTCCTGGCCAGTCAGTCCCTTCTGAGCTCTTGCTTTTGCTCCGCCCGCTCCAAACTCTTCGGAATGTACTTGCTCTTCTAATAATGTCCCTTGAGCCATTCTCTATTGCTCAGATCCGCTTCAATTTCTTTGAAGTGTATTTTTTCTTCTAATAAACTGCCCCTTTTCGCCACTTTATTTCTGTGTCTCGTTCAATTCTTTGCTTGAGACACCAAGAACCTGGAAAACGCGCCAAGAAGGGCCTGCTCTCCAGTAACACAACCTTGCTGACCTTGTTTATTAGCTCTAATAGTTTTTTGTAAGCTTGCTTTTTAAAAGCAATGTCCAAAAAGCAACGGGGCTGGTAGATTATCTAGTCTAATCTCATCTGATGCTGGGATTAGACTTTAAATTCACCATAAAAGCCAAAAACTGACAGTCAATCTTATCTTTAAAAACCTCTTTAATCAGTCATAAAATACAGCACACAAAGCCATGTCTATATAGCCCTTTTTGGTCATATATACATGAAATATAAATGAGAACAGATTTAAATCTTCCATTCCACAGTTATGGTAGGTCATGTACTCAGTGGTCCTATTTAAATTGTTCTGTTTTTTAATGTGCCAAACAGGTCTGATAGAATTTGACAAATATATCTGATATGAGTCTAATACAGTCATTTAGAGGGAAAAATGATATCCTTTTCCAAATTATGCTATTTAAATCTGCGATCTCCTTCATATTAACCCACTAATAACTGTACCCTTTTCTTTTACTTGGACATTCAAATAAACATGGCTGGTGTCTCCATGGAAAGGGTCAAGGGAAAAAAACCCCAACTTTCAGATTTCACAACCATGCCTGTGATGGAATTAAAATCCTCATTAGAAAGCCAACACTTACCAAATCTCTCCTGTACCATAAGGGCCACCTGTTTCCCCACCTGCGTGCTCCCGGTGAAGGACAGCAGGTTCACCCGCTCATCTTTGGCCATTGCCGTGCTGCAGGGGAACAGACACTGTCACTCAAGCAGAGAAACCCAGCAATGGTGACACCTATTGGTACCAGCCAGACAACCCTGACATGGGCTCTTGGAAAGGCAGTCAGTCAAAGATACAAGAAAGTCTATCCCAAGGGAGCAAGGGAAGGTCTTCAGGAAAATGAACTAGATTTTCATAAGTGAAACCACAGAGCAGAACAGCTAACATGTACTGTGAGCTCTTCGTCAATAGAGCTCACCTCACGGACATCATTAGTTAAGAAAGAAAGACCTTCCTGGACTGAGCGGAAGACTGGACAACACGACCTTACCATTTCCTTGATGAGCATCCTGACTATTTTGCTGACTCTTAAACTACTGATTCCCTTAAGACTTAAAAATCTAAAGACTGGAGGGAAACATCCTAAGAATCCCTCATGGAAGCTGACTTATAAAGCCTATGCTAGGATTTCCAGTTGCTTCTAAGGAATGTAGACCAGACACTATCGATTTGAATCCCTTCGTTCAGTTTGGTGCTTCAAAAGCCTTAGTGGGGGCCACGCAGGACAGCCGCAGCATCAGTCTAATTAGAAACAGCTCGCTGAGGTTACCGATATAGGCCTCCCGGGCTCAGCCCACAAACATGAGCACTGATACCCGAGGCAGCTCTTGCCTAATGCACACCTAGACACTAATGCAATTACCTGAGCTATTCAAAGGCCAGCACCGAGGCCTGGATGCCCAGAGTGCAAGAGGAGTTGGTCCGAGGACAGAAGACTCATGTTTTAAATGACATTTAGACAATACTTTATTATGCACACTATCTGTGGGAGACTAACGTCTTAACTGCACCAATATAGGTTAGAAGACTCGACCCCAATGAACCCTCACCTAATCAACGGCTAAGCCAGTGACAACAACCTCTTTCATCATGGTTCAGAGCAATTATAAAGTCATTTCCAGTTTAAAAAGAGGCTGTGACATTATGCTAAGTGAAAGCAGCCAGACACAAAAGGCCACATGTAGTATGGTTCCATTTATAGGAAAGGCCCCAAACAGGCAAATCCATAGGGACAGAAAGTAGATTAGTGGTTGCTAGGGGAAGGGGGGAATGGGAAGTGACTGCTAATGTCAGGAGGTTCCATTTGGGACACCCCCCCACCCCACCCCAAATATGTCCTAGAGTAAGATAATTGTGATGGTTGTACAATACTATGAGTATTCTAAAAACCACTAAATTGTACATTTTTAAAGAGAATTTTTATAGTATGTGAATTATATGATCGTTTTTAAAAAACAATAAATTTAAATAAAGAGACTGTATTCCCAGGGTTCCTTTTTTTTTTATGTCAGCTGAAGATCCCAGACGATAGGCTAGGTTCTCCATTACTGGGAGGGGGTGAGACACCAGATTACAATTCCATAGCTTTGCTTTGTAAGTAAGCACCTTTACAAAATCAAGTGTCAGGAAGCCATGGACCGCCCACCATTACAGCAGCTTGTTATTTTATGATATAAACACCTTACAAAAGTAGCTCTGGGCAATTAAAAAGACAATTCTGACTCATCCTCCAACAGAGGCTATACATTAATAAAGGCAGAGCCCAATGGGGTCCATAATAATAATTCCAAAAAACCATTCTCACTTCAGCTGTACTGCGTTTAGTAATTCTAGAAAAGATGATTCTAGCTGATTCACACAGGGTCCTTCAGCAGAGAAGGACCTACTGACCTACCCAATATCCGCTCCACCACACGTCAAGGAGCAAATGGCACCAGGTAGCTTGTTGTCCTCTAGAACCTTGGCTAATATCCTAGAAAGGAAAAAGCAATTACTGCTAAGTAAGGGAGCAATTTAATTTCTTAGGATTTTTTGAAAAACTAGGAATAAATTCTAACCACCTGACTTTCCTTTTCAACTCTCTCTCCCACCCTTCAAACATCCAGGCCTGGATTTCTCCTTATGTAATAGAAATGAGGCTTTCAAACACTTAAAAGAAGAAATCTTTTTTTTTCTTTCCCTGAAATAATCTTAAAAAAAAAATAGACAAAAAACAACATGCAAAATAAATAAAAGACTTAAAGCATTGGTCACATAGTCCAAGTGATCATTATTTTCAAGTATTTTCTGGCAAACTATGAAGATATCTCATTTCAAGATGGTAGACTGATCACAGGGCATTTTTTTCCTTTTCTTTTCTTTTTTTTTTTTTTGGTCTCTTACTACAAAACCATTAAAACGATGGTAAAGAAATAATAACAAGGAATAAAACCTACAATAGAAAGATGAAGAATTGAAAGGGTGTCCCCATCAGCAAATGAGAGGTTTCAGTACATCTCTGCAAAGCGGAGTCAGCCAGAGAAGTGACACAGGATGAAAAGGGAAAGAGGTCCCCAAAACCTAGAGCAGGTGCTGAGGAGAAAGGTACAGTAGAGGGAGCTGGACCTATGTGCAGAACCCTAAGGAAATTCAGGACTAGTGCCTGCTAGCTTCATACCAAAACTTTCAGTCAGGAACTATCAGCACCCTCCAGTCTAAAGCACTGTGAATAAGCACAGCATTTTCTTAATTAGTTGTAACTTATGCTGCTAGAGTTAAAATGACAAATACAGTTCAATGTTATTTAAATCTGATTTTGAGTTCTAAAAAAATGGCTCCAGTACTTCTGGTTCCTCTGAAAGAGTTCTTCCATTCAATTTGAGCTTCCTGAGGAGCATGGGCCTAAATAGAGCAAAAGTTCTTTTCATCAATCATTCCAACTTGCTGGCTACTTTCTATTTTGTTTAAAGACATGGACGGACCTAGAGAATATTATGCTAAGTGAAGTAATTCAGTCGGAGACAGACAAATACCATATGATCTCACTTACATGTGAAATCTAATACAACAGAATAATTGAGCAAACTAAACAGAAATAGACTCAGAGATATAGAAAAAACGTGATGGTTGCTAGATGGGAGGGGGGTGGGGATGATGGGAGAAGGAGAAGGGATTAGACAGCACAAATAAGTAGTCACAATACTGTCACGGGGATATGAAAGACAGTTTGGGGAATACAATCAATAATGTAAAGATTTTTTAGGGCGTCAGATGGGCACTTGTCTTATCAGGGAGACCACTTCATGGACTGTAGAGGCTTGACCATTGTGCTGTACACCTAAAGCTGAAGCTGAATAATAATGTCAATTGTAAGTTTATATATAGAGACACACAGACACACAGACACACACACACACACACACACACATATTCACAGGATATGGTGTACAGCATAAGGAATAGAGTCAGTGGAATTATAATAGCTATACACGATGTCAGGGGTAGTAGATTGTGGAAAAGGGGTTATCACTTTGTAAGGGGTGTAAATGTCTACTATTACATTGTTTTGTACACCTGAAACTAATAAAAACATTGTTTTTAATAAATAAAAGTTTCCTTTTTAAATAAAAAAATTAAAAAAAAAGAAAGTTCTGAAAGCTCCAAATTGTATATACACGTCCATAAAAAAGATGCCACTGCCATATGTCAGTAAATACTCCCATTGTCCCTCAAAATGTCCTTGAGAGCAGTTTCCTTTTTTCCATCCAACCAAAGATCACACACTGCAGTTGTCATGTGTGAAACCAGGTGTCAGAGTGAACGATTCTCTCCGTGGACTTAGAGTGTATGTCCCAGCTGCACAAGTAGACTGACGGCTCTTGAAAGCTAGGGGTTTGCTTTGTGCCCATGGGTAAAGGTTAACAAAACCATTTCCCTTTAATACATGAGATTCTGACCTCGGATTAACGCTCTAGTTTTGTTCCCCAGGTTACCTGATCAATGTCAGTGTCAACAACGTTACATAGACAACATGCCTTATGGTAAGAATGACTCCTGGCTGGTGAACTGCATCTGGACTGGATAACTATCAAGGGATATAAATAGGAATCTTATGCTTTGGGGCCTTCCCTGAGGGCAGTGACTCTTGTAACTGCATGTCCCTTGTGGGCAGCTGAAAGTTCTGCCCTATAGAATTGTCACAAGACCTCCTGGCTCCTGTGGGGAATTAGGCTTTAAACCAGGGCATCCCCCACACCTGTACACTGTAGATCTCATCTCCTCACCCCTGCATAAACTGCTACAAATACCAACTAAAGAGGGATACCTGATGCTATCCTCCTGGCAAACTACATTCCTGTCCTATATCCTTCTGAATAGACGGAGGTACGATGCGTGGCCTGTGGCCGTCTAATGAGTCTGAACGTTTAGCTGAATTTAAGAACTGGTGGATATGGCAGCACCCTTGTTTAATTCTGGCAACATCTGGCATCATTTTACTAATTGTCTTCCATTACAAAATCTGATATTCTCAATTACCTAAAATCAATTACCTAAAATATCAGCCACGTCCCTATATGAACACTTCAAACCCTTCAAACTGTTTAAAGCAAAAAATATTTTAAAACTCAAAGCAACAATAACAGAACATTTGAAACCAATATCAAAATGAACAGTATTTTAAACCAGTTGCTTAAGTAACAATTGGCAAGCAAGTTCAGTACGACCACATAAACTGTTCTAAGTTATTTTTTAATTAAAAAAAAAATTGCCTGGGGAATCTCATCATTTTTTATGTTTTGCATATCAAAGTTCTATGTAATATTTAATTTGAACACCCCTGCCTTGAAGGATGTATTTTCCCCAACATCACGTATTCAAGTAAATCCTAACACATACTACTCTCTCTTTTTCATCCCACTTTTCCTAAGTCAGTGTTCCTAAATGCTCATCTGACATGAAGGACCCTCACATATGGCCTCCTCCACAAGCTCTCTACCAACAACTCAATTCAGAAACACACACCGTGCAACCAATAGAGCATGAAGGGTGCATTGTCCCCATACCCAGAAACGCACTCTCTTGCATACGTTTTCCAAATTCTTGAATGATAAATTAGTAACACTGACTTGACAACCTAATCAGAGTTGTCAAGTTTTCAAATATGAGTAAATAAAACAATTTTTTAGATCAAAAGATAAAATACATTTTAAATAGTGTGAGAAGAATCCACGGAATAGTAATCATCTCTCTCTGTTTTGCTAATGATCTATTAAACAAAAGCAGTAAAAGTATTAACTGGGTAGAAATCAAAACCATTAACATGTTGAACAGTTATAAAATATAGCCCCTAAACTGCAAGAAAATTTCCTCTCCACTGGATTTGCTTTTATTTTGCAAGTGACAAAAATGTTTATAAGAGCTCAATTTCAACACTTAACATCAATATCTGGCATGTTTCCAAACAGTTAAGTAATATAGCTCTAAAAGAGCTATGTAAACTACAAAACCATATAAAAATGTTATTACAACCAAGGGAGAAAGAGGTTCTCCAAATCTCCTACGTAAATAAATATGGTGCCTTTACACTGGATTAAAAATTCAGTGCCTATCACCCTTTAGAGATTATTCCATACCTAGAAAAAAGAAGGCCACACATACTCACTTTGTGACAGCAACACTGATAAGGGACGTTGATGGAGCGCCTTTCCTTGAGAGGGTTAAAAAAAAAAAAGACAACTTAATTTGGTGGATATCATAAATATCTTTCATTATCAAGCAGAAGAAAACATCTTCATCAGAAAAACTTCTAATTAGACATCTGATCCTAGTAACTGAAATAGGAATCTATCCTTCAGCTTGGTGTCTCTGGGACCTAACAGACTACAAAATTTTCACAACTTTAAAATTGGCAAAAAGCAACTCTGAACCTGCTTGCTGCACTTATCACAGGAAAGGTTACACTTAACCTCTGTCAATTATGGGGACTGACTGAAATGAAAGTCAACCTGAATTTTTGTTGGAAAGCCTTCGAGGAAAACTATACAACCAGCCTTTCTAGATCAGGATGCAGAAAGCGTGGGTTCCTTTGGCAACACGGTGCCAAATCATTAACCCTCCCAAGTATGCCTTGCTTTTGCAGACAGTCTGAGCACATTCAGATGAAGACAACGTTAAGATTGGTATATAACTGGGGGCAGCTGGTTAGCTCAGTTGGTTAGAGCACAGTGCTCATAACACCAAGGTTGCCAGTTCGATCCCCACATGGGCCACTGAGTTGCACCCTCCACAATTAGATTGAAACAACTGCTTGACTTGGAGCTGATAGGTCCTGGAAAAACACACTATTCTCCAATTAAAAAAAAAATTGTTTTAATAAAAATTAAAAAAAAAAGGGGGCCGGCCAAGTGGCACCATTGGTTAAGAGCATGAGTTCTGTGCAACAGGGTCGCCAGTTCAATTCCCACATGGGCCAGTATCCTGAGCCTGAGCTGAGCTGCCGCTGAGCTGCCAACAGGTGGCAGGATAGCTCAGCTGGTGAGAGCACGTGCTCCTAACAACAAGGTTGTCGGTTTGACTCTGGCATGGGATGGTGGGCTACACCCACCCACAACTAAGATTGAACACGGAGAGCACGTGCTCCTAACAACAAGGTTGTCGGTTTGACTCTGGCATGGGATGGTGGGCTACACCCACCCACAACTAAGATTGAACACGGAGAGCACGTGCTCCTAACAACAAGGTTGTCGGTTTGACTCTGGCATGGGATGGTGGGCTACACCCACCCACAACTAAGATTGAACACGGCACCTTGAGCTGAGTGGCGTCGAGTTGCCAACGGGCAGCCAGATGATGACTGAACTTGGAGCTGAGCTAGCTGTGCCCTCCACAACTAAGACTGAAGGACAACTTGGCTTTCCCCTTCCCCAATTCCCCAATAAAATCTTTAAAAAAGAAAAAAAAAAGATTGGTATGTAATTAGTGGGACAGATGCACAACAGGCAAAGATGGCTCTCCTGGTTTTCCTTTTCTAACTTCTTCCACTGAACATGAAAGCTAAAAACGAGCAAGTGTTTTGTCATCTATAAGACACTGATACTTTCCCAGCTAACTTCTGTCAAATATGTATAAAGATGCAAATTTTAATGCATCAATGAGAACATTTGCCAAGTGACCCAGAATCACTTGGGAATTCACTATCAAATTTTTATTAAAGAAAAAGAATCAAACTTTAAAAAGAAGGTTGTGACTTATCCCAAGTTCTTTTTTCCTCCTACTTGTTTACTTAGTTTTCTGTTTGGAAAGTATAGTACAATACAGAATACCTCTGGTCTTTGTCACCAGTTTATGGCACAGGGCTTCAAAACCCCTTGGAATTTCCTGAGTAACAGAATGTCTTTCTTATGCAACGAGGTGGCTTTTGGGTGCTGTCCAGATAGCTTCAGGATGGAAGGTGGTTGCTAGTCAACACAAAGACCAACCACGGGGAGGCGAGGAGGGATGGAAGTTGAGCTCAATCCCATGTCTGATGATGTAATCAATTATGCCTATGCAATAAAACTCCAATAAAAACTCTGGACCCCAAGGCTCAGTGAAGCCTCCTGGTTGGGATGGTGACATCCCCCAACTTCACCAGAAAAGGGCATGGAAGCTCTGTATCTGGGGCTCTTCTAGACCTTGCCATACTGTACATCCTTCACAATACAACTGTAATCATTAAGTACTGTGCTTTCTTGAGTTCTATGGGTCATTCTCATGAGTTACTGAAACTGAGGGTTCATGGGAACCTCCAAACTTGTAGCTAGCTGGTCAGAAGTGCAGATGTCCTGGGGACCTGGGGACACCTGCAGCTTGCATTTCAAGTGGGGGCTGTCTTGCGGAGGACTGAGCCCTTACACATGAGGAGGTTGACAGTAAGTCCAAGAAGTTAGTATCAGAATTTACTTACAGTACACCCGCTTGGGGTGGAAACAACTGAAAGGACAAGGCTATCTATGTAAAAACAAAAAATAAGTTAAAAAAAAATTTTACCAATGGAAAATATGCAATAATTAAGTCAGCATTTCACAATGGGCAGGTGTGACAATATGTTAACAGAAAGGGTAGTGTAGTAGAAAACATTTTAATGCATTTAAATTACTTTTAATAGTACCTGAAATGTACTTTATTATCTTCCCACTGGATGAGAACATTAGCAGGCCTTACCACAGGCAGACGTCCCCGCAGATCATTGCGATGGCGCTGTTCCAGCCATACACCGCCACAGGGAAGTTGAATGCAGTGATGACTCCAACCAGGCCTACAGGGTTCCACTGTTCAATGAGCGCATGGCCAGGTCCTGAGGACGGGGGAGGGCGAGGAAGGCGCTTAAGCATGTTCACTGAACGCATGTCAAGTTAACAAGAACAAGGTCTGAAATCTTTCATTTTCAGAACAAAGGTGCACAGGACCAAGTGAGGATTCCACATGCCTTGTAGTGGGTCACTCTCCATCGCCACAGGATATTGCTCCGTTAATTAGCAGACAACAAAAGCTGGTATCACTGCACTCCCTCATAAACCATGAATGACTGTGATCCTCATAGGCACTCGGATTATTTCAATCAAAGGCAGCCAGAGTAGTGAAGAACCAAAACAAGGCATGCTGGTTCACAAACCGTAGTCAAAACCACAGACCAACTGGAAAGGCGCTGCTCCCAGCCATCAACTTTCTGCCAGGCTCCCAGGGCCAGCTAGGAACAGGAAACCTACCAAGTGCTGCACCCCACTGCCAGGCCCTCCTTTAGTCTAGGCAACCTCATCTCCCTCAAGAGGATATGCGGGCACAGCCCCTCCCTGGCAGGGCCTGCCTCTACCCGACCCTCTTTCTCTTCTCCCCAGGGAAGCCAGCACAGCTCTGATAACGTCACTCCCTTGCTTAAAACCCTTTGGCGTCCGGATCACTGCTGGAGCTGCTCGCTGGTCAAGTCCAAGGTCAAGTCCAAGCTCTGTAACAGGGAAAGTCCCTTCCCACTTCCTCTCACCCCACTACTCCCCTCATGTGCCCCCATCTGTGCTAAAGCAAAAACAGTTCCCCAGATAAGCCACATTCTCCCATCTTAAGCTTTCACTTTTTTTTTCTTCCATATTTACAACCCCTGCCCGAGCTCTCCACCCCACTCGAGGCCTTAACTTGGATTACTTTCTCTGGGAGGTCTTGCCTGACTGCTCCAAGGCTAGCTTAGGGGCTCACTATCCTATCTTCCACCCCATCACATTACTTACCATGTTCTATTATAATTATCCCTTTACGTATCTCCACTTGCCTCCCACACTTAAATGGAAGGAATCTATAAGCTTATAAATTCTTGAGGACAAGGACTATGCCTTATTGATCAAGTAACACCTATCAGGTCACCTGGTACCTGGTAGACACTCAATAAACATTAATTGCATTAATAGGGTCAGTTAGTATAAAGCCTCTGCAAAAATGAATAATCTATTCTTTAAAAAATATTCTTTCCTCATCAAAAATGTAACATAATTGCCATCATGGAAATTTTGAAAAATACCAAAAAATGGAAAGAAGACAATAAAAACCATCAATAATTCTACCACCCTGGAATAACTGTTACCACTTATCACTTTGGCAGACTTCCACCCCTTGTATTTTCAATGCAGCCACAGTCACTTGTTTTGCTCTATTACAACCACAAACATTACAAATCGCATAAGCTCTTATCCTCATCATTGAAACCTCCTCAGAGTACAAGGCTGGTTCTTGTAGCGTACAGTAATAGCAGAAGACTGAAAACACCCCAAACATCCATCATTTAGGAACTGGTTAAATAAATGACATATAGTATCTTTACAGCAAACAGACAGCCATTAAAAAAAAAGATGAAGAAAGTACCTGAATGTTATAATATGAAAAAAATTCTAATACCCATTAAGTAGGAAAAATATAGAACAGAATGTATAGTTTGCTAATGTTTCTGTTCAAAAGGACATATATTTTCCTCTAAGTGAATAAAAATGAAAAAGATATTATAGATAAGAAACCAGAGGGCCAGCCGAGTGGCTCATTGGTTAAGAGTTGGCTTGGGACACCAGCTCTGAGCAGCAGGGCCCCAGTTTGGATCCCGCATGAGGGCCAGTGACACTGCGCCCTCTACAGCTAAGATGGTGAACAACAGCTCGACCTGGAGCTGGGCTGTCATGAGTCGCTGGCGACGGCGTAGGCTGCAGTGCAGCTGCAGTGAGCTGCCATGAGTGGCCGTCCAATGACCAGCGAGTGCCTGCCTCACCCGGGAGGAGAGCAATGATAATACCAACATGGGCCAGTGAAACGACGTCCTCCACACTAGAATGAAGAACCAAAGGACAGCAACTTGTCTGTTCCCCTCCCCCAATTCCCCAATAAAAATGTTAAAAAAAAAAAAAAAAGAAACCAGAATCACTGGCTACATCCACGGGGACGCTATGGAGTATCCAGGGGCGGTTGATGGGAAACTTGTCATCCTCTACCCTTGTATTTCTAATTCTGTGAGATGGATAGATCACCTCTTTTAAAAATAACATTAAAATAATTTTAAAATAATACAAGCACCCCATAAAAATATGAGGTTGGAATTAGACAGAATGTTCATAAACAGGAGTTTTATTACCTGCTCACAGACTGACAAAATTAGCTCATCCTTTGTCTATGATTTGACATTTAGGTCATTTTTAACATTTCCTATTGATACTACAATGAATATCTCCACACACAAACCTTTGCCACATTTCAGATTATTTACTTAAATTAGATTCTTGAAACTGGTATTAAATGCAAGGCTCTTTGGATTATTTCCAAATTGCTTTCTAGATGGTTTGGCAATTCGTGTTGCCGCAAGTCCTCATAAAAGAGTGTCTGTTTCTGCCTCACCCATGGACTTGCCAACACTGAGTTTTACCTTCATAAATGAAAAAAGTTAAAAGTGTCTTGATCTGATGTTTTCCCTTGTTTCAATTTGCATTTCTGAGTAGAAAGATTAAAGATATTTTCATATATTTATATGCCACCTGCAGTCCCTCTTCTGCAACCTGTACACAGACAGAGCATTTTTTGGAGCACTCTCTGGCAGAGTCTAAAACTCATAGCTTAACCACCTTCAACGCTTACTTTCAGAGGGAAGGATGGGTCCCCCGATCATCCGCGATAAGCCAACAGCATAATCACAAACATCCACGTACTCTTGAACCTCTCCCACACCTTCCACAAAGATTTTCCCCATTTCCAAAGACACCTAAAAATACAAAAAAACGCCAACCAGTATTTTTTTCAACAGAATTCATGTTTTAAACATTAAATTGACAGGGGGGAAAAGTGCAAAACCACATTTTGTGTTTGTTTTGTGAAGGAAATAAACTTTAGAAAGTTTGTTTTATTTTTATGAAGAATTTTAAAACCCAGCAATAGTCTTCACTTTTTCCTGTCCATCTTGTTCATATTTTCTCTAAAAAAAAAAAAGACTTTGAAATGTATAAATTGCTTTTCTTAAAAACCACAATCTTGGGCCGGCTGAGTGGAGCATTGGTTACGAGCTGGCTTGGGACACCAGCTCTGAGCAGCAGGGCCATGGTTCGGATCCCACATGAGGGCCAGTGACACTGCCCTCTACAGCTAAGATGGTGAAAAACAGCTCAACCTGGAGCTGGGCTGCCGTGAGTCCGCCGGCAATGGAATAGGCTGCAGTCCCTGCTGCAGTGGGCTGCCATAAGCTACCGTGTGTGGCCGGCAGCCAGTTGAGCAGCCAGCAGCTGGTGTGAGCTGCCAAGAGCCACCGTGAGTGGCCATCCAGAGGCCAGTGACCTATCTGCCTCACCTGGGGAGAGCGCAATGATAATACCAACATGGGCCAGTGAAGCAACGTCCTCCACAACTAGACTGAAGAACAAAAAGTACAGCAACTTGTCTCTTCCCCTTCCCCCAGTTCCCCAGGGCTGTTCCCCTCCCTCAATTCCCCAATAAAAAAAGAAAAAAAAACCCACAATCTTCTATACAGAAATGCATGACGGCCCTTTAAGAGATTATATTTTTACTACAGAAATACTTTACCAAGTTTCCCAGTACTTGGATCTTCTCCCGCAAGGCATCACCAATCTGTCTCACTACTTCTCCTCGCTTTGGAGCAGGAATCTAAGAAAAAAATGGAATTTTAGTGTCTGATTCAAAGTGCAAACTTGTGTCTAGACCAGGGGTTGGCAAACTGCAGCTCACGAGCCACATGCGGCTCTTTAGGTATGTTGTACATGTGGCTCTGAAGTAAAACTGATAATGAAAATAAAACTATCACAGTTTCATTTATAAAATTTTTAAAGGATATTATTCACATAATGGTGATTGTATGTTTTATAGGTCTCGCAAAACTTTGAAGGACAGGATTGGCTCTTCCATCTCAAAAGTTTGCTGAACCCTGGTCTACAACACAGTATTCAATAAATGTGCAATGAAAAAGCTAAGTACAAGCACATCAAAAGCACATCAAAGCTGACTTTTTTTTTTGTTTTTTTTTTTTTAGCTGAGCCATCCTACCACCTGTTCGCAGCTCAGCGGCAGCTCAGCTTGGGCCAGGAATTGAACCGGGGACCCTGTTGCTCAGAGCTCACACTCTTGAGCAAGCTCTTAACCAACTGAGCCACTCAGCCGGCCTCAAAGCTGACTTTTTTTTATCACATCAAGATTACGATATAGCAGGCCCTAAAAGCAATGCCAGAGACCCAGAAAACATTCAGATGATAGGTTCATGGCGAGTAAGGCTCCATGCCAAGTACAGAGAAAAATTCAGAGTTTGAACCCAACCTTTTGGGATGACTCCAGATGGCTAAAATACCTTAAATACTTAGAGGCTTTTATGATTCTCAGGGACGTTTTTTAATGGGTCAAACTGGTTGCACGCCCAAACCCTTAATTGAGCTTTCCCTCTCCGTTCCCTCACAAAGAGAGCCATCACAGCACTGCTCATGCTCTTCTTTGCTCCACAAATGTATCGCCATGTCTCAGTACAGCTTTCCGGAGGGAAACTTTGCAAACTGTTACCATTTAAAATGGTCCCACCCTTTGACTGGGCAACTCCACTTCTGGAAACTGAATATACACATAAGTGTGCAAAAGCCTAGGTACAACAAGTTTACTGCAGTGCTGTTTCTAGGAGAAACAGAGACTATCTAAATGTCCATCGGCACATGATTGGTTAATTATGGAATAGCCATAAAACGGGCTACTTCACACTCTCTAAAAAGAATGAGGTAGATCTATAAGGAAAATGTTTAACAGCTACAACAGGATGACAGAAAATAGCAAAAGAATACATATGATAAGCAAACTTTTGCTTAAATTTGAAGGACTATACAACGAAATGTTAACAGTAGTAACTTCTGGGGAACAGAATCATAACATTTTCATTCCCCACATTTTGTATGTCGGGCATGTTTGCATTTTTATGACACATTGCTCTTCTGGAAACAGGAAACAAAAACTGTAATGTTAAATGAATCAGTGCAGATTTTACACATTTCCCAGCGCAGAGATCAGGTTTAATAATGTTTCAACTGAATTTAGCCCACACATTTATAAGTTTAGCAAACTGGCTAATTTCAACTCAGAATGGCTAATACACATGGCCTGTACCCTCCCGTTCTGTGCATATTTTATTCAATCAGTCTTTCAACCAATAATTATTGCATACTCTGTATGTGCCAGATATTGTGCTAATCCCTGGGGATCCTGGGGAAACAGGGCAGCTACAATTCTTGCACACTAGAGCTCAAAGTCCAGTGGGGGGTTGGGAGGGGTGGTAGAGGTAAGAAACAGGCAATTACATTGTTACGATGGAGCAGCTAGACTATACAACTGGAAAACCTAGGAGTGTTAATTTAGCATTACGTGGGGTAAGGGAGTGGGAAGGAAGGAGGTTTTTAAAGAAGGCGAGAGCTTTCCTTGAAGAGTTGAGACCTAAGACCTAAAACATGATTGGTGTTTGCCAGGTGAAGAGATAAAGCAGGAAAATTATGGGGGACAGGGGGCACAACATATGCAAAGGTCAAAGGGCAAGAAAGAATATGGTGGTTTGGGAAAACTGTAAGGCATTCAAAGAAGCAGGAGTGGAATGTAGAGGTCACACTGCAAAGGTGTAAAGAATCCAAAAAAAAACAATGGGGAAACTACTAGAGGGTTTTAAATGGGCGGGTGAGGGGGGGAGGAATCACAGTGCATTTAAACTATTACTCTAGTTGTGGTGTAGAAAATGGATCAGAGGGAAACAAGATTCGGATAGGAAGACCATTAGGCCAGACTAGAGGTGGTAGCTATCTGGACTACAAAAATGGCAATAGAGAAATGTAATTTCAGATGTTGAAGACGTGATCATTGAATATCGGTAATTGATTCTCAACCCTGGCCAAACATTAGAATCACCCCCCAAGGAACTGTGAGACTAGATTCCACCCCAGATCACGCAAATCTGAAGGGGCAGTAGGAAACAAGGGAGACAGCCCCATCGTGACAGTGATCAGTCTAGCATGACAGGGTGTCAATAACCTCAGACCGTCCTGAGGTGGGCAACACGAGTCCTCGCCCCTGCACACTCACCCATGAAGTCCTTCAGAATGAGCATCAAAGACAGGCACATGGAGGGAGCCAGGAGCACAAAGGGAAGTAGCAGCTGAGGCTTCGAGGAAGTAATACAATTACACCCAGGTTCAAGAGGTACCTGGTATTCCTTTACGCAGTTAGAGACAGCCCACTGACAGGTCCCTGTCCTCAAGAGAGAAGTGATGCTGGCTCTCCCTCACCAGAGATGGGGAGGGAAAATGAGGACTCGTAGCGGGTGAAGAGGGGCAGAAACAGGGGGCCCTCTGGGCTGAAACCGGCTCATAAAAAGAAAGCCGCTGGGCCGGCCAAGTGGCGCGTTGATTACGAGTTGGCTTGGGACGCCAGCTCTGAGCAGCAGCACCCCGGTTTGGATCCCACATGAGGGCCAGTGACGCTGCGCCCTCTACAGCTAAGATGGTGAACAACGGCTCGACCTGGAGCTGGGCTGCTGTGAGTTGCCAGCGGCTGCGTAGGCTGCAGCCCCTGCTGCAGTGGGCTGCCATAAGCTACCGTGTGTGGCTGGCAGCCAGCGTTGAGTGGCTGGCAGCCGGCATGAGCTGCCAAGAGCCACCGTGAGCAGCCGTCCAGGGGCACGCGACTGATCTGCCTCACCTGGGAAGAGCGCAATGATAATACCAACATGGGCCAGTGAAGCAACGTCCTCCACAACTAGACTGAAGAACAAGGGGGCAACAACTTGTCTTGTTCCCTTTCCCCCAATTCCCCAGTGCTGTTCCCCTCCCCCAATTCCCCCCAAAAATCTTTAAAACAGAAAAAGAAAGAGAGAAAGAAAGAAAGCAGTAGACTCAGTATTCCTGACTAGGGTCTCTGTGGTTAGTTCTACTTCAGAGAAAGAAATCAGTTTTTCTGAACTAGCTTTCCATATTTTTATCCTTTGTTCCTTTACCCTTAGAGAAAAATGCTCCCATTGAAAACTTCCAGGCTTAACTCAAACCAACTAAATGAAACAGTGGTATGTCCTCACACAGGAAAAGCCCTCCAGAAAAATCACAGCCAGTGAGGGGCTCCACACAAGTGAGGACCCAAGAGGGAAAGTGCATAGGCGGGAAGGGGTCCAAGCTCTGGTCTTATTTGAGGTCCCAGCAGCCTCCAGTTCACTGGCCCCTTTGGCAGGGGCCCTGGAGGCACAGTTAGGAAACGCTCTGCCTCTTCCCTAAACTTTGAACTCAATTGCTTAACTCGAATTCTTACAAGTGGGATCCCGCACTGACTCTACTGTCACCCAGGAAAGCAACCTATTAGCAGTTCCCACTCTACTGGGAGGTCCAAAAAGTATGAGAAGCATGAGAAAGGATGTAAGGTGCGGAGTCTGGCATTGTTGAGGAAAAGTAGACTGCCAAATGAGATCCAGAATGCAAAAATTGCAGCACCAATAACAAAGATTGCAGCCCAATATTTAAGAAAGTCATCCCGATGTCAGCTGCCACCCCCGAGGCCAAAGCAAAACCAGGAAAAGCCAGTCCAGGAAAAGAAAAGACCCTGAATTCACACGCGTTCTCAAACACGATTGTGTTTACCCTCACTAAATGCACACATATAATAGATGTTTCTGGTCAAATGTTTCACTGGCATTCAAAACAGTGTATGCAAAGAGTAAATCCTAATATAAATGGTGAACTTCGTATATTTATTAATACTGTATCAATATTGGCTCACCAACTGTCACAAATATACCACACTAATGCAACATGTTAAGCAACAGGGGAAACTTGCTAAGAGGGAGGGGCTCTGTGAGCGAGGGGGGCTTTCTGCTCATCTTTCTGTAGAGGCGGCACAGAGCATGTTACCCCAGAGTGTGCCACTTTGACATGTGGATTACTTTTTGCTGAAGACACTCAAGACCTAGAAACTCAGGAAAAGCTTTTTACCTCCCCCTTAACTTCCTAGGACTTAGAAGGGCGCCTGCAATCAGGAAGAGAGCTATTACCAGAGATAGCGAGATAACTTTTTATATCTGAGAGACCCATCTGTGTGGCAGGGCAAACATTTGTTTATTTACTAAATGTTTGCTCTTCTCACCATCCAGTGAATGGCCTTCCTCCCCGTTAAAGCCCCAGGCCCTTATCCATTCCTGTCGCTCAGGGTGCTATATAAGCATCAGTTGCCTGGCTGCTTCTGGGTCTCATATCTTCATGGGGCCGTTATGTACAAAATTAAAATGTTTTTCTGTTAATCTGTTTTAGGTCAATTTAGTTATCAGAACAGCCACAGAACCTAGACTGGAAGAATGGAAATTTTTTCTTCCCCTACACTGTAAACCTACAAACTGCTCTAAAAACTAAATCTATTAATTAAAAAACAACAAACAAACAAAAAAACAGTATATGTACAGGAAAACAATGATTTTTAAAAACTATGCAGTAAGTTGGTATACAATGCAATCACAGGTCACAAAATTTTGCACATATCATGTGTATATGCATGTATGTATAATAATCACAACTATGAAATAAACCCATAAAAGATGAAAGAAATGCACCAAAACATAACTCTAATAACCATTCCATATTAAAGAGACAGGGGATTACATCTGATTACCTTATTTAATTTTTCATTCAATTTTTTTAAGCAGGGAATATGTATTACTTTTATGATCAGGAAAAAATGATGTTATTTTTAAAACATTAAAATAAATGACACTGGTTGGGCCAGCCGAGTGGCTCAGTTGGTTAAGAGCTCGCTCAAGAGTTTGAGCTCTGAGCAACAGCGGTTCGATGCCCAGCCCGAAATGAGCTGCCGCTGAGCTGCCAACAGGTAGCAGGATGGCTCAGCTTAAAAAAAAAAAAAATGACACTGGGGCCGGCTGAGTGGTGCGCTGGGTAAGAGTTGGCTTGGAACGCCAGCTCTGAGCAGCAGGGACCAGGTTCAGATCCCACATGGGCCAGCGATGCTGCGCCCTCTACAGCTAAGATGGTGAACAACAGCTCGATCTGGAGCTGGGCTCCCGTGAGGCGACGGTGACGGCATAGGCTGCAGCCCCTGCTGCAGTGGGCTGCCATAAGCTACCGCGAGTGGCTGGCAGCTGGCATGAGCGGCCGGCAGCCGGTGTCAGCGGCTATCCAGTGGCCAGCAACTGATCTGCTTCAGCCAGGAAGAGCACAATGATCACAACACCAACATGGGCCAGTGAAGTGACGTCCTCAACTAGACTGAAGAACAAAAGGACAGCAACTTGTCTGTTCCCCTTTCCCAATTCCCCAATAAAATCTTTAATAAATAAATAAATGACACTGCTTTGGAGACTATTCTCTACCCAGGTAGGGTGAACTTTACTTAACACACGGTTAACTTTGGAAGTGCTATTTTCCTGCTCAAGGATATTTTTGATTATGTATAATAGAACCCTGAGCCTGACTCATGGCCAGAATTAGAGGAAAGATGTTCCTCGTGCTTTGCAGAGGCGGTCTCTTAGCAAATAACACAGCTGCATCCAACCCAGGGCTCTCCTGGAGAGTCTGCCCCTCCCCAAGACCCCCTAGCAATCATTGATTCAGAGAAAACTCCTGACTCAGCAGTCCCAAACCCAACAGCACGGGGTTTTGTCACTGGCAGGTACTGAGGTCTGCCACGTGGTGGCCTCTGCAGTAAGCAGGTTACATGATTAACTCATTTAACCTTGTTAAAAACTCAGGAGTCTCCCCTTTTTACAAGACAAAGCACACTGGTGAGGCAAAGTAATTTACCCAGGAGGGTAGTCCTACAGCCTCAGGCCTAGAACTTTTGGTGGCCAAAATTCAAGAGCAAAAGGGATATTCAGAGTGGGGTGAGGGCAGGGAGGATTGGGAAATCCAGACTAACCCTGTTCTTTACTTTCCCCTCCTCCAGAGCCTGGCCCTCAGCTAGTGACAGTTCAGCAGGGCCAAGCCCCAGTCACAGTCCCTACACTTGCTCATATAATCCCTAGTGGAGACAGAGCTGGAGGAGACAACCTGCCTCAAAGCCTGATCAGACAGTGGGGGAACTTGGGCTGCTACCCTTTGAAAGAGGTGCTGCTGATCTTTGAACCAGGAATGTCCACCTGTTGCTGAGATACTCCCTGGCAGAGGGATGGAGAAGGAGCAAGTAGGTATTCTCAGCATAGATATGCAAGTAACTTCAGTTGGAGAATAAAGAGTGGTCATAGCTCAAATTTATGCTTAAAACGTGCATAAGTAAGTTTTAATCCATTTAAAATTACCCATTTACTGAAGGCCAAATATGGAAAAGGCACTATCCTAGGATGAGAGCAGAGATTATCACAACCCACGAGGGACTTCTGTTTCACCAAGGGGGCATTGACCTGCTCATCAGATGTTTCTTCATCTCATTGCAGTTACAATAGATAATGGTGCTATAGCCTCCATACTTACGTCTGCCCAGATTCTCCATGCTTCTCTTGCTTTCTTTACAGTTTCCTCATAGTCAGCTACACTGGCCTAAATTAAGAATTCGGGGGAGACAAAGAGAAAAGGAAAGGGAATTGATGATCTCTTTCTAAGAACACACAGATTTTGGGGAAAGAATTGGAAAATCTCTGGGTGATTTTAAGATTTGTAGTTTAGAATGATTTTCACAGCCTATGCTTCCAAAAACTGCTAGAACCCAATAAGACAAGTTAGAATCTAGCTGTGTTTTTTAAAACCTTGCTTCTCAAAGCAAGGCGCATTAGCCTCATCTGGGAACACCACCTGAAGTGTATTAGAATTTCAGGCTCCAACCCAGATTTAAGAGGTCAGAACTTTCATTCTAAATAAGGTCATGCCTTCCCCCGCACCCCACTCAGAAGCATGGCCTTGAAGAAGCTCCCTCTCCCTAGTCCTCTCTATGGTTCCCCTTTTCTAGGCACCCCGCCCCCAAAGAGTAGATAGTCTCTCCCAGATATTCCTAAAAGTCAATGAAAAAGAAACACATTATTCTTTGATTTTGTATTGCTCTGATCACTCCCACAAACTCCCTGTGAGCAGTTTGCATTAAAAAAAAAAGAAACAAAACAAAAACCACTTACCTGTCGGACTCTTGCTATTGGCTCATTGTTAGCAGGACAATAGGTAGTGATAACCTTGAAACAAAAAGAAGATGAAGATGACCACCATATTTAATCCCTTTGCAACAGGGGGAGCAGACCAAGTAAGGGAAGAAAAAAGGAAGGAAGAAAATAAAAGACAAAGATACAGTATCCAAACTCGGAACCTTTACCTTAATTTCTGTTACAAATAAGTCACTCTACAGAGCTTTTATTTTTTACCTAAACATTCAGAACTACCTTTCTGCAGAACCCATCCTGCCACCTAAGTATTAGGTACATAAACAAAAGCCTAAATGTAACCCATTATTTTGCCTCCTTTTGCATTAACACACCAAACTCGAATTTTACTTATTTCTTTTCTCTCTTACTCGGCTCACCGCTGGTCAAGGTGAAGTGGCCAAGACCAGACAACAAGGGGAAAGGCCTGTGTTCACAAAAACTGGAGAAGTCAACTAGAAAGAAAAAAATCAAGGCGTAGCTTTAAAAAAAAAGCTTTCAGGAGAGGGTATTTTAGCCACAAGCCAAATGATTAGAGTTTCCATGTAGGAAAAAAACAGGAGGGACGCTGGGGGGAGGGGGGTCGAGGGAATAACTAAAACCACCTGTAGTCCTACAGTCACAGATAACCAAAAGGCACGTTTCCATCAACAAGGCAGATTCATTACATTACATGCAACAAAAGGCATGGTGTTAGGCTCTGGAAACAAGAAATGCGCAAAATCCGGTCCTCGAGGAAGCTCAGCCCAAGGAACACATGACAGGATTTCAGCAAGTCCGAGCTTGCAAACTCCAAAGGATTTCAGGGGGAAAAAAACCAACATAAAACTATATGTAGAACATATACGGCGTATGTCACATCTGAGGAGCCAGTCAAGCACAAAATTAAGATAATTTCCACTATTAAGAGTGTGGCAATCACTACAGATCGCAAAACTCAGCCCTAAGGTTTTAAACATGCGTGACAAATTTAACCCCAACCAGCTCCAAAATGACATCGACCCTCCATAGCCCACAAGGCCCTAAAAATCTAAGAGTATTTTTACGGCACCCTACGTCAGAAAACTTGTACTGTGGAACTTCCGAACTTCCCATCCAGTACAACCGACTACAGCGGCAGCAGGGAGTCGGGTGGGGCAGAGCCCGCCCGGCCCTCCGGAGCGCACAGAGGCAGCAGAGATTTCCCGGGACACCCGCATACCTCTCCCCGGCCTCCCCAGCTTCCATTATACACGCCCTCGTTTTCCTCGCGGAGGCCCAGCTCCTTCAGCCAAGCATACTGGGGCTGATTGATAAGCAGGGTGGACATGAAGGCTGCAGGTTTGTTCCAAAGTTCTGAGACCTTGCGCCCCCTTGCAACCTGCACACACAGATGGCGGGATAGGCGCCACATACTGAGCCCGGGATGTGCAACGCGCCTGCGGCCTCGGGAGCCGCTGAAATAGAGCCCCGCCCCCCGCCCGCGAGAGCCCATTGGGCAGGCCCGGCCCCACCCCCGGGACTCGCCTCCGCCGCCGCAAGGCCTGCATCAGTTTCAGAAGAAACCAGAGCTTCGCCTCCGCCGGGAACAATGGGGCTGCTGCAGGAAGCGGGCAAGAGGGCTACTGCCATCTGGTGAAAGACGCCGGAACCGCGGCGCCAGCTAGAAATCCTTTCAGCAAAATATTGGCTCTGAAGTACAGTAGGTTAGAGCAAAGCTTCTCAGACTTCTCAGTGCATGTTATCACCTGGCCATCATGTTAAATGCACATTCTGATTCGGTGGGTTTGGGCTGGGGATCTGAGAGTAGGCATTTCTAACCAGCTCCCAAATGACGGTGATGCTGCTGTTCCGTGGAATAACCAAAGAAGGTTTGTTTATTTATGTATGTATTTATTTATTTATTTATTGGTGGAATGAGGCAAATAGTTGTTTATTTTCACCGCTTTGATAAAATTACAAATTAGAGTTTTCTAATTAATGAAAAATGCTAAACTATGTCATTTCCTTCTAAATATCCTGCCTGGGTATATTCTTGCTTTTGAAGAACAAAGACGGTTTGATCGATTCCCTTCATTCTCAATTTCTTCCCTCTTCCTGCAATATGCTTTCCACCCACCCCATCCCCCTGACCATCCTGTTTCCCATCTGAGGCCCACACTGGGCGTACCTATATAAGGGAAATACTAACATTTCAATCAGCGTGATTCGGACATGAGTTAATACGTGCACTCTCAAATCAATTGAATTAGATGTTTCAGTGAGTCCCAACCTATTTTTCTTTTCTTTTTTTTAAATTTTTTTCCTTTTATAAATTATCTTTTTTTTCTTTTTTTAATTGGGAAATTGGGGAAGGGGAACAGTGTTGGGGAATTGGGGAAGGGGAACAGCCAAGTTGTTGTCCTTCAATCTTAGCTGTGGAGGGTGCAGCTAACGCAGCTCCAAGTCCAGTTGCCATCAGGGCTGCCGCCTGTCAGCAGCTCGCAGCCACTCAGCTCAAGGTGCCGTGTTCAATCTTAGTTGCGGGTGGGCGTAGCCCACCATCCCATGCAGGAGTCAAACCCAGAAACCTTGTTAGGAGCACGTGCTCTCACCAGCTGAGCCATCCTGACACCTGTTGGCAGCTCAGCAGCAGCTCAGCTTGGGCGCAGCTCACTGGCCCATATGGGAACCTAACCAGCAACCCTGTTGCTCAGAGCTCGCACTCTTAACCAACTGAGCCACTCGGACTGCCCCCAACCTGTTTTTCAAAATATTGCTTCTCACTACCTGCCTTGTGGCCTTCCGCACTGCTGTCAGACAGACTGAGTCACTTTATGCTTCTATATAAAGCCTGTGTATTCCTCCCACTATGTCCTTGCCCTTGCTGTTCTCTCCACCTATAAAACCCTTCCTTCCATCTCTGCATTCAAGCTTGAGCTTTATCTGTTCCACCCTTATGGCGCGAATAATTTCTGCAAATAATGGCATGTATCAAGCACCTACCAGAAACTGTAGTAAGTGGTCAAGATACATGAATGATGCTTCCATTTGTAAATGTTACATTTTTCCCATTAAGGCAAGGACCATCTCTGACTTATCCTTGCATATCTCCACAATTCCCAGCATTGTACTAGGATCATGCTCACCTATATGAATGAATGAACAAATGAACCTAGGAACACACCTTGGAAGTAATAAGCATGGAACCCTGTCCACCATTGAAACCAGAGGTCAACCAAGTCTGGGGCTCATGTGGCCTGTGCTGCTAGGCCAATAGACTGATACAGGAGTTGGGCTACAGAATAAGTGTCTATTTTCAGAGCACCAGTGGTCTGAGAAGGCAGCGGGCTAACACCTCCAAAAACTACCTTAACATTCTCAGATCAGCCTAGGATAGTTAAGGGAAAATCTGGGTATTCCTCCAGAGGCTATGTGAGGGTTCCGGGGATCTGCATGGAGGCTTCCCTCTGGCCACATAATTCTCTGGTGGCATCAGCAACCCAGGAACAATGATGGGAGTAGCCTGGAAAGAATGCTAGACCATAGAGATGGTGATCAATAAGCATAAGGGTATTAATCATAAGTTCCAGGGTAATTTTCTAAAACAGGGAACTGGGTGAGACGGGACATTTTGAGCTCAAGCCACAGGGGGATGATCTATTGTTAAGCTATAGGTAAGTCAAGGAAAGGTGAGGCGGGGACATTGCAAGGCCTCTATTACTGGGGTCCCAACCAGGCCCTGCTTTAGTATCTCTATCAACAACCCAGCTACTGTCTTCCATCTACCCCTAGGACTGAGGCATTTTATTTCTCAGACATTTTAACTGAGAATTTAATTCTTCTCAATTTCTGGCTACCAGCAAGATTCTTTGTACATGTATCCCAACACCATATTCTTCCATCTCCTCTCCATTTGATTCAAAAAATGAAAAGACATTTACAGATACATAAATTTTAGGAGCAATAAGTAATGCCCTCAGGAAATGTTAGCTTTGTTCTCGTCACTAAATCAAGGAGAGAGGTTCATGGCTGTCAACCCGTTCTGAGAAGATAGACACGAGCAACTGCCAACACTGAAAATAGGGATTGCCTCTCTCTTCCACCTCCTTTTTTCAAAACTCACTTATTCTGCCCAACAGGATGTCAGGAAAAAAATGAATTTTGATGGGGCAGAGCAGGAAGAGATAAAATTAAATGAATCATATAAAAGCACATTTCATGTGTGAAAGAGAATTAAATGAATCATATATGAAAGCATATATAAAAACTGCAAAGCCCTATAAAAATTTAAATGTACTGACTGATCTCAGAACACCTTGAACCAATTTCGTATTAAAAGTGGCAGAGTTTGCAAATGGCTGATTCTGCTTTTCAAATGACTTATCAAAGGCATCACAGGGTGGCGATTAAAGCAAGGACTCTGGTATCACAGCATAAGTACAAATGACCTGTGCTTAGGATGTCCTCAATGAATATAGCTGTCTTCATTCTTTAAAGATAGCTGGCCAGAAGGCAAAAGGATATGACCTGAACACGCATGCTTGCCTGAAGGCAGCAGTAAATTGGAGAAATCACCACTGAGGCAGGATAGATAGCCTAGGGTATCCACCCCCCTCCACGGTACAAAAGGAGGCACCTCCCTTCAAGGAAGTAAAACAACTGCATCTGACACCTGAGACTAAGATTAAATAAGAGCTAGTTTCATCTAGTATTCATGGCAGGGCCAGTAGCCATGTTTAACTAATTTTAATGTCATGATAATCTCATTTACACTGCGGGCACTGTGATCCCCACCATGAACCTGATGCCATGACAGTTCTGGAGGAACCAAATTAGGACACAAAGGAGGGAAACGGAGATCCCACCCCTAGAAAGGAGATGAAAACGACCTGAACTTGTCACCAACAATTCATGGCTCTTGCATCACAACAATGCACAAGCTCACACGGGACTGTCTGTGAGGGAGTTTTTAGCCAGTAAACAAATCACTGTATTGGAGCACCCTTCCTACTCACCTGATCTGGCCCCCAATGACTTCTTTCTTTACCTAATGATAAAGGAAATATTGATAGAAAGACATTTTGATGACATTTGGGATATCAACGGTAATACAATAACAGCTCTGATGGCCGTTCCAGAAAAAAAAGAGTTCCAAAATTGCTTTGAAGAGTGGACTAGGCACTGGCATCACTATATAGATTCCCAAGGGGAGTACTTTGAAGATGACCATAGCGATATTCAGCAATGAGGTATGTAGCACTTTTTCTAGGATGAGTTCGCAAACTTAATTGTCAGACCTTGTACTTTAGCTTTAATAAACTTCCTGCATTTTCCTACATTTGTCTCATTTTTTTTTTAAGATTTTATTGGGGAATTGGGGGAGGGGAACAG